TGAATTGAGGAACTTATTCTAGCGTCGCAATCATATCATCTGTTCTGTTAATATATGCATAAGGATTACATTTTTTTTCTTACTTTTCTAGCGAAAGCTGTTTACTAATCTAAGAGATTATTATACCCTTTGATACATATATTTTCGTAAATATAAAGATATATACTTTAAATGCTATTAATATTTATATCTATTCATTCAACGCGTCGCGTGGCGCGTTATTCATTATTGTTCTAAACTGGCAGATCGAGCGAGAGAGAGAGAGAGAGAGAGAGAGAGAGAGAGAGAGAGAGAGAGAGAGAGAGAGAGAGAGAGAGAGAGAGAGAGAGAGAGAGAGAGAGAGAGAGAGAGAGAGAGAGAGCGTATACAATATATTTTGTAATATACATAAACGTGGGTTCAGTATACGATGCTCTTTTGGCTTCTGAAAATGGGATGGATGCAATCGATATCGGTGACTAAGCGTGAAACATGACTAGCTTGAAACGGCGATTTTCATGGATCCGCGCGACGCGTTACAATTATTATGACGATTAATTGCTGTACACGGCATTTTGCTTTGCACCTTGCAATTTGTTTCGTACAACAATAGTCTCGGATTACGATAGAACATCTGGCAGTAATTGTACCCGGCTGAATATATAATAATATGTGTACGTTCACTTATATATTTGGGCCACATAATGAAATGCAAAGGATAGAAGACTTTAAATTCTTAACAGTTATCATCGACTTTTATTCCGATAATAATAATTTCTCGGTTCGATGTTTCGATAAACGGATCCTCTTTAAATACCGATAGAAAAATACGTTTTCATTATTACTTCTTTTTTTATCACTATCGGGATGAAAAATTGCTATAAAACGTTTCATTTTATCCATTGTGACGATACGGAATTTGCGCGAAATGGAAACGTCGAATATAATTCTTTATTATTATTATTATATAATTTGATAAGCAATAACTACTTTATCTTAACATTGTTTGAATTTCTGATTGCCTTGTCTATATTATAGACAAAGTAAAAATATTCTTGTGCATTTTTCATTAATTTTACTTGAAAAAAAGTTGTACCGGGACTATAGGAATAATATTTCACATACATTTATCACATAATATTATTTCAATTTAAAAAATGAAAATTTAATATAGAATTATTAGAGATTCCTTATCCAATTATAGCATATTATTTATAACAGCATTTTCATATATATATATATATATATATATATATATATATATATATATATAATGACTGTAAAAATTTTACTAAATGCAACAGAGACTCAAAGAGATTCGAAAAAAAATGTAACGACGAATTGTTAAGCTACAAATAAAGCTAAAATGTCATAGACTGTGTCATGTTGCAATATATACTGCACGACACGTAGATCCTTAATACATAAATACTTTTTATAAAGAAATTTCTTAAGCATCTATATAAAAATAATTGCATACCTTGATTTTTATCATTCTATTTACAATCGAACTTTTAGTTCCTCCATTCTCTGCTTTATTCTTTTCCGCATCTCTTTGTATCTGAAATATTGAATTTATGTAATACAGCACTTTTATGTAGTAAAAGTTTACTCTTGCACATACAAATTGCTAATTACAATGTACTCACTTCTCTTTCAAAATAATAATCTGACGTTCCTCTTCGTAATGATAACGTTGCAGTATACCGTGGCATTCCGCTAAAGATAAGTTAAGAAATTGCGCAACGTCGGAGCTGATCTCAGGCGTGGATAACTTGTCAACCAGAAAGAGTCGTGCAACGTTCTCGTGCGGACCCAAGACTACCCTGACTTCTAAAGGATATTCGTCGTCCCTCAATCTTCTTTGCTCTAGGAATAACAATAGAAAAATATAATCGCGTGTATAAATCGATTTTAATTTTCTAGAAAATCATGCAGCCCTCTTACCACCATTGTCGCGCACTACGAATAACGCAAAGTTATCGGATTTGGCGTCGACTTTGTACTTGTCCAGCATAAGATTGATGACTTCTTGGGTGTTCACTAGACTCGTCACCCAGACGGACATTTGCGAACCGTGAGGTGGCGTGAAGAAACTGGTCTCTCGATTATAAAAGTGGCCGTTAATTGAGCAACGACGTCGTAATCGATTACGCGATTGACGCCTGCCGCCCGGGCGTCGTCTGATCGCGGTGGAACCCTGCTTTCGGCGCAAAACGACACCGTCCAGCTACAACCAGAATAGATTGATATATTACATTTGCGTATATATAAAAGAGAAAGAAAGGACTAATACAATGGTAGCGTTGCGATACCTCTAATCCACTATCTGTAGACATAGTCATATTGTCGTCCTCTCTGAACTGTAAGGAATTCACCGAATCCGTGTCACTATCCGTTCTGTGTCTCTGTAGGCAGTCAGGACCGGATAACGATCGATTCAGACCCTTTTCAATCCAGCTGTCGTCGGTGCTGATCGATTTATTACTAGCATTCTTCTCCAAGTTGTCAAAGTACTCTACTCTTCGAAGCGTACCATTCCGATTAGAAGCTCCTAAATTACAGACAGGTGTGTCTGTACTAGATGAACTACCTATGCTATGCGTTGGCGTGCTATTTACGCTGCTATCGTCTCGACTAGTAGTTTGATGATTAGGACTGCTCGTTTCCGAATTCTCGCGAGAGTCTGATCGATCAAGACTCGACTGAGACGAGAGCGGTGGCGTATCCACGCTGGACTGCGAGCTTATCGAAGGGAGATTCTCAGGCATCGTCTGATATAATTTATTGCCATCCTCGACTTTTCGTTCAACCTGCAATCTCGACGTTTACACCTGTGTTTAAAAAAACTAAATAATGGACATTAAAAGGACAAACCTGTAAAAGCTCATCTAGCTCATCCCATTCCATGTTCTTGACATCCAGCTTCATGGGCAGAGTGAGACTCTTTAAATGATCAGGAGACGTTGGAACAGACTTTGCATTATTCTCTGTATTACTATCTAATGTACTCTTAGACAGCTCATCTGCTTTATCTTCGTCTTCAATATCCTATTGCAATTAAAGAGAATAATTTTAGAATAGAGAATAGATTACGTGTATCAAACTCTGAAATAGGAATAACAAATTAAAAATAACAAACCTCAGAAACGCTGTGTCTGCATGAATTTCTATTTCGTGCCGTAACTACTGTGCGTTGATCATCATCTTCCTTCAAATGAATCACGCCACGAACTCCCCAATAAATCCTTAATGCACCTTCTAATATCAATCTTCCATTGACCTATATTTAATCATTATATTTATACAGAGATTCAAAGTTTTATATCAATAAGAATATAATGTAAATAATTTAAGAGATCTTTTTACCTCGCGGCTTCGAATTCCTCCGCTTTTGCCTTCATAATACTGGTTAAAAACTTTTAGTTTAGATTCCAAGTGTGACCTAAAACAAATATATATCTTTAGACTATTTAAATAATTACCTAAATAAATAAAACAAATATTAATTTGTTTTAAAAGAAAGAAAAACTTATATCTTTACATATGCTTTCCTAAGATAAAAATTAATCCAAAATATAAAGCTTTAAAAATATGTCTAGATTTACTGTATTAATATAACAACAAATTATACAAAATTGTTGTACAGTGAATTAGTTTTTCAATGCAAATAATAAAGTTATTTTCCATTATATTATTTGAACAAAATCTCTAAAATCTCTGTATTTACCTTGGTAATGATGGTCGACTTTCTTTCTTTCCGAAACTCGTGTGTGATTCCACTCTTGTGCCATGACCAAATAGTTGAGGTCCGAAAAGTGCTCCATAACAAGGAACATGGCAATAAGGTACACCTTTATGCTGATTAACATAATAATATATCATACATTATAATATGTAATATAGTAATATACAATAAGCTGTATACAAAATTGTATGTATTAATTTATAATTCTTAAAATAATTGATGTTTGCATTACCTCTGCATGTTGTCCAGGATTTAATCGCTTTCCACATTCCTCGCATCGTAAACATTCTGGATGCCAATCATATCCCAAAGACTGTTTACGTTCAGCTAAAAGTTAATTCATACATATATTTAAGCCATATCTAAACTTAAATTACTTTTTAAAAACATACAATAAACAGTACTTTCTCGTTATTTCTAATTCTCCTTGTTTAATGTATTTATACAAAAATGACAATTCCAAATATTATTAACAATTAAAATAATGCAACAGATGACAGATTGTTTTATAAATTTTTATTCTTCATTTGATATTAGCCATCATTATAAAACGGAGCAAAATTGCTTATATATGTATATATTTTTTAAAGTTCCAACAATGTAGTGAAACAAATCGACGACTTCGTCAAACTGCTAATAGCGTGATACTTGTCAAAATGAACACATCGCCATCAACGAGTGTAAATCGCGAAAACTCACCAAAATAAACGGGTTTCCCGCATTTGTGACACTTCCACATGATGATAGATACACGATGCACCGGAGATATAACGACGAGTGTGTTTTTCGTCAAAAACCTCGGACTCGGACAGTTTCAAAGCATTTTGTTTATATTAGCGGAGCATTCCGCTCTCGTCGAAAATGACATGCGGGTTAATTACAGATGTTACTAGTATAGTAACTTTATTGAGGGGAGGTTCCATGTCGCGCCATTTTCAATTATTTGCATGCATTACGCCATCTAGAGTTACTCTTGTTAAAACTATACTCTTTTTAAAACTGTAATATATATATATAATTTCATAAATTCACATTTGATAAATGTATTTATTAGAAAAATATTAAAAAAGAAATATATATACATATATTGTCAAACATATTTAAAATATTTTTACATATATAAGATTCCATTACATTACAAACTATTTTTGAAAAAAATAATAAAGTATTTTTAAAAAATGAAATATAAAAAAAAAACAATTTTGAATACAATTTCCAAATAATTACAAGCTTTACACTTTTTCCTCTTTTAGATATGAAAAAAATATCAGGATTAGAAATAGTTCATTAATATTTTTATTTCTTACTATTAAGTCTATTAAGGTATATTCCCTTATGTACACGATATATAATTAAAAACATTACAACCATATTATCTTTTTTCATCTGTTTGCATATTGCCTTTCCATAGCATCCAAACGTGCCTTCTCCTTATTAGCATTGAAATCACGAATAAAATTTTCCATTTCCTGATTTGCTTTTCTACTCTCAGGTGGATAATGCTCTTTCTTAGCTTTTACCACCCATTTATCGAAATAAGCTGGCTGATTGACATAATGAAATATTCCCACAGGAAACGATATGTACAGACACATCTTAGCTATCTCTAATATCCAACCACCCATCCTTTCAAGTATCTATGAGAAAAATAATATATTATGATTATAACTACTTGCTTTAATTTTTATTCAATCAATTTATTTTGTGGTTTAAAATGATTTGTTGTACAACCAAATTTAGTCAATAATTATTCACATTTACTTAACTCAATTGTAACATTTTCTTATCTGGACTTTTCTTAATTATGTGCATAAAATAAAATGACAAGAGGTTTCTACATCAATTAATCTGCCAATATTTTTGTGAATTCCTTTTTTTCCTTTTTATATATTCATATCTCATATATAAAATTATAGAAAATTATAGATTGATTGGAAGCAGAAAGCTCTTTATTTACATTCAAAGCAGATATCAATATACTTGCAATAATTAATCGAAAACATGATAGCATAATGTAAAGATATATAATTATAATCTACATAAATAATTTTGCAAAAATTACAACAATGTACCTTAAACAGATGTTAAAGAAAGAAAGTTACAACATTAAAAGAAGTACTTGACAGAGATACTTTTTAGGTTAATTTCTGATATACTCTCTCCGACTTCGTTTTCTCACAAACTATATAAACTATGTAGGAAGGATACATTATACTTATATTTGTCGTCTGTTCTACGAGCTTCCCGGATTGGCTGTTGACTAGGGAATTTTCGAAAGCGGCCAATCACGTTTGTTTTCAGCTATGCGAATTTCCATCTGTAATTTATGTCGTTCATGATGATCCATAGCGTTGCAAAATGGCGACGTCGTTGTCAAAAAGTTCGAATACAAGCGCGAAATATAAGTTTAAAAAACGAGAGGTTATTTTTCTCGAATTTTTTAATCATCGAGCTTTCTTGCGTTTTCATTAAATTCCCGTATTTCTGCGATGACACGAAATAAACCTCCGACGCGAGCGCGATGAAAAAAAACAACGAACGCGAAATTTCCAAACGTATGTATATAATAAATAAATGAGAAATAATATTGCTAAAACGTCGCGATAACAATGGTTTCGCTGCGTTTTAGGTTCAGCGAAGCGAGGAAACGAAGTGAATCTTGCGAAATCCGTCCAAGTCGAATTCGAGAAAACCAAAACTGTACGCCGTTGGTAGCAATGCACTACAAATGTTTGCCATTTATTGCTCGTTGTCTTGAGACGCAGTAGACGCCTCCGAAACATCCGTCTCGAGCCGCGATCAACGAGCGTCTCGATGTGGTTTTCTCGTGATTACGAAGCACCTCGAAGCGATTATGGAAGCACTACTGCCGTCTGAGATAGCTCGATTAGTTCTTGGTAAGATTTACTCTCGCAATTGAAATTGAAACTTTCGTAACCTTTTTTTCCGCGGGAACGCCATAATCCTTTTTCTACAAAGCTTTGCAACAAAGCTTCTGTGACCTCTTTGTCGATAATGTTTGACATATATGTGTGTTATACAATTAACAATTAACATAACTGTTTTATGTATGAAAAATACTCTTTTATAAGTGATCACTTTTTATACTTATTTCTACAACAATGCATTTTTTACTCTACTATAATGTTGCTATTTATTAAACATAAATTATATAATAATATAAATAAAGCTGTTTTTCAATAATGAGTCAGTAAATATGTTTGTTTTTTCTTATAAATATTTGTTTATCTAGATTTTGGATAGAGTAAGATGTATGTAAACAAAGTGTAGAAACACAAAATTAATGGAAACTTTTATGTCATATTTTTATACATTTAATTTTTATATTGTGCTATATTTAGTGTACTTGATAGTACATATTAGATCCAATTCAGTTAAAAATTAATTAGTGCATTTTCTGTTGCTAGGTTATTTGGAAGATCAAAAATGTACTGAGGCAGCCAAAATGTTTTTAGAAAAATCACCACATTTACAAGAATGTCGTACAGTACTTTCTTGTGGTAGGAGATTTAGCACCAGAGTTAATGGTTTAACATTTATGGACATTGTTGAAAAGTTTTCTGCCATTAGCACCATGAGTAAGTCTCTGTCAATTATCTTAACTTATGTTAAAATAGTAATAAAATAACAATTAAATAGATTTAATGCTACAAAATTTAAATTATACAGATATGTAAATGTATTGTGGTTTGATTTTATCTACATATATGCTGTTTGTTACAGTTCAAGAGCGCTTGAATAAAGTCACAGATTGCGAGCAGTTGAAGCATTGTGGAGATCTGATAGAGAAGCTCAAGTTCCTTGTAGAAGAGCCACGTGGCCAACGATTTGTTGTAAATATAAATGTACCTTCACAGGTAACTTATTATTGTCTTGGATTTCTATCAATATCTGTTCAATGTTCTAGATATAGAAACATCTTTGACATAATGAGATACTAATTTGACATAATAGATTTAATCTTGATTATTTTTGTTCTATTAACTAGAAATATATAGAAATTGTCATTGTACATTTGTGTAATTTGTAATCAAACATATATTTAGAGAGAGACACTTAAATTTTATAACATAACATTCTTTAATAGAGTAACACACAAACATCAAGTGGTTCACCTATTACTGCAAGCCATATGCGTAAAAGGCATAATAGTGAGAGGCATAACGAACGGATTAAACGCTATATTAAATCCCAATTAAACTCAGTACAACAATCTGACATACTGAGTCCCCGTATGTATCTTTTTATTTATTTATAATGCTTATGTAATATAAATCATTGATTACAATATTTTGATGTAGCAGCAAGTTGTCACAATATTGACACAATTCCATTGGAGAGTTTGCCTGGGAATGATCTATTAAAACAAACAGAATGCAGTAATATTTGTACAAATGAGAAAAGGGATGATAATATTACACAGGAATCTCAACATCAAGATAAAAATACTAGTATAAATAATATTCCCACGTGTAATAGGAACAATAGTATTCGTCTAAGTTCAGGTAATTGTAATAATAACTATTTATCAATTTATATAACAAACTGTTATATAAATTGATAGATAAAGTTAATATTTATTTATTTTCTTTCTTATAAGATGATGTCTCAAGTATACGAAGTTGTGAAATGGTTGATATCGATGATAAGAAAAAGGAAGAAAGTACCATAATTAATATGGTACCTAAACATACTACAGCCACAAGTACACAGGAATTGTTGAGTTTCTCTAGTACAGAGGTCCAAACTACTCTTCCTTATGAGATGTCAGAGTCAGAATCTAATGACGGACCTATTAATCTCAGTGTAAGTCTCTAAATAATATCAATTTATGCTTTTAATTCACACATAAACGCCGTAAAAAAAAAATATTTTCCAAATCAGACACTTATATAAAGACATAAAACGCTTTATGTTATTAAATGTATATTCCACTCATGTATATTCCAGATATTAACAAAAGAACTCTTGAATCGTATAGAATTACAAGAATGTATTGCGGAGAATATCAACAAAGCAATCATTCCTGCAGATTTATCTTTGAGGGATGAGAACTTGAATGAATCAATAGTTGGCGAGGGAAACACTTCGATATCCGAGCTAGATAATGCTATTAAATCGATTGTTGAAGCAACAGAAACCGATCCTGTATTTGAAAAATTTCTCGACGAATGCATTGGACCGCACAGACAGATGCAGATTGAGACTGATACATGCCCAGAGGATGATGGCGGAGAGCCAAGTCCAAGACCTCTTAATGAGTATGCATATATATTTTATTCTCGTCTTCTTAATATATCATTACAAATCATGAATACTCATGACATATCTTAACATTTTCAGAGTGCAAGAGAAACAAGTGGAAGTAGCTTTGGATAATGTTAGTTCACCAGAGCCAATGATAGTAGACACTAGGGTATCTACAGAAACCGATATAGTGGATGTTCCTCTGAAACACAGACTTCGCAGTTCTTCTAGACAGCAATATAACAGAACTGATGATGAAGTCGACAAAGTAAGAGATCAAGAGAAGGAGCAGAGCGCTTTGGAGGATCAAAATGCAGCCGCAGTGTTGAGTATCATAAATATTATTAATAACACATCTGATGATGATAAAAAGAGTCTTGATGATGCGAAAGAACCGATGGTCATGAATGATAATAACGGACAGAAGATGCAAACAATATCTGCAATAAATAAAAACGACGCAGTTCTAAAGCATCTTCCAGCATCAACAGATGTTCAAAAAACGAATAATGTTATATCATCTGCGAATAATAATGTACAACCTAAAATTAAAAAGTCCACAGTTAAACGATCAAAATCGACGACAAAACATAAACACGATCAAGCAATGATCAGCGATAATCAGCTCATGACTGAACGTGAAATTATGACGATGCCGACATTAATAGTGTGTTCGAAAGACGAGGTGGATAATCTTTTGATAAATCGCTCGTCGACCATTAAATCAACTTCAAATTCACGGTTTCTTCCGATCGCTCCGAAAGATCCAAACAGAATTGAGAAATCTGAAACTCTATACTTAAAGACAGTAAATGTAGCGCAGAAAGTACCGATCAAAACGCTACCGACCATAATGGAGAAACCAGATAATCCCGCAAATCAAGCGGAATTATTACAATCGACCAAGAAAAACACCAAAGTGAACAAACGATCGAAAACCGTACACGAAGCTGACGCGACGATACCTGTCGCTGCTAAACAACAGATATTAGATCATTCGGTAGAACCACCAACAATCTTACCAGCAGAAACTGGCAAGATTGTTGGTGAATCGATAACGCTTTATGGCAACGAAACCAACACGAAAACATCGTTGGACGGTGCTAATCTACCTATGATCAATCTAGAAGAAAATATCAGCTTGTCGCAAAGTGGACTTTCTCCATATTTAAAGTTCAGTTGTAGCAAAACGAACCAGAGTCACAATCTTTCGGATATTGATATAGCACCCATGATGGAAGACACGAGGAACATGAAGACAGCGAGTAATAGAAGCAACGTCGAACAACACTTGCCCAAAAGCACGGATATTATTACTAAACGCACGCCAAAGTCTCTGTTACAAAGTAGATCTAAAAATCATAGATTAAGCTTGTCCACCCCGCGCAAACGAAACGGTCACGTGAGAGCACTTGATTTTAGTACACCTACGAAAGCGATAGGTTCTAGTAGGAAGGCATCCGGAGACGGAAATGTTCAACTTTCGTCCGCGTCGGCGAAGCGTTTGAAATCCGTTTGCAGAACTTCGTTATTCAGATCGCCGTCGCTTTCGAATACTGTTCAGAAGCAGAAGAGTCCGGTAAAGGTCTGTCAGTCTTCTTACAGGATTCCGATAGCCACTAGAAGTCCCGCGCCCAAACTCATGGGCGGTTGGGATAAATGTAACGGTGTTGGTGTCATCATAGGCGAAGTATCTCCGCATGGAAGCACTAGCGCGTCCTGTTCGTCCTTTGAGGATAGAGCCATTCAACATAAATCGTCTAAAGCGTTGGTAGCGGAAAGTTGGGATGCTGATTTACGTAAAAGTGTACAATTGGATAAGAAGGATGAGACTGAGATTAAAATGACCGCGAAGAAGAAACGAGATGCCATCAATAAGAAGGATGATGCGATGCGTAAAAGGATTAAGTATAAATCACGCTCGCCAAAGAGCAAAAACAAGAAGAAGACCCGCAATAAACCGGAAGTAAACGAAAAGTCTAATTGCGACCCTGGAGATATCGATGAACCGGAAGAGGAAAATTTTCTTCGAGAAAACGTGAAAATCGCAGTAACGGAGCCACGAAATAACGAGAGAGAAAATACAACAAAGGTTACTATTAGTGCCGCAGATTCCATTACGAATAAACCTGATACAATTTCTCGATCGGCAGATATTAACGATACACCGATGAAAGTGGATTCTAGTACAAACGCGTCCAACAGCGATACAACAACTGAGAAGAAACCGGTGAAAAAATACGCACAATTGAAGACGATATCAACTAACTTAAGAAAGTCCGACAATGAAAATGAAAAGAACGCTCAAAGCAATTTGCAGATATCCGAAATATCGAGAATTTTATCCGCGGATAGCACGCAGCATATTTTACAGATCCCACTTGACATGATCAGTTTGGAGACGCCTAGAAAATTCGACAACATATCCGGTCCTCCACCGACACCGAGAGTGCTAAGTCCCGGTAGTCATGCCATCACGCCGTTCATCAAGATCAGCGAAGATTCTAGCAAAGTACGTAACAGTTTTATCACCACACCAGAATTCCCGATAACTCCAGGGGGAATGGCTATAACTCCGAAAGAAGAGACGACCAGGGATATCATAAAAAGGGGAGAGTACAATTCTCCATACTACAAACCCTCTTCTGAACAAACTGAACAAGATTCCGATTTATTAAAATCTAAAAGCATACAAGAGTCACCTATTCTTTCTTCGTCACACATAACATTACATTCGACGCACAATAGTCTGACTTCTGGTAATACTTATCAAACGTGTACTACCTCTAAACTGGAGATAACGCAATTCGAAGTGATCAAAGAGAATTTACCGAGGGAGGAAGCTATCAAGGAACTGAAAATCGCATCCAAAGATCTAGGAAGCACAGGGAAACTCGACAATTCCGTAGATCGGCATATGATACGAAGGAATGAGTTTAAAGATATAAGTGAATATCGCGAAACAATAATCGATGATCATTATGTCGCGGATTCCGCGGAGAATCACAGTTTATCCTCCGATACCTCATCATCATCGTCATCATCGTCTTCGTCATCATCCTCATCGTCGTCCACGTCCACCAGTTCGAATACGGACACCTCGGCAACGTGTTCGCCAAACTACGACAAAGTAAAGCCAAGTAAAGTGAGTTCAGACACCAGTAGCAATTCCGCGGAGAAGGGCATCGACGTGTCGAAAGATGCAAATCACGCGAAAGTTCCAAACGATGTAACGTGTAAAGAATTGGATATCTTATTCGAGGAGGAGGCTTCGCCGACGAAAGTGTTCGCGATCGTGAAAACTGACGACCAGATAGAGGCAACGTTGAAGGAGACCCCAGCTAAGGACGAGACCCTCTTGAACGAGGCCGATATTTCGGAAACGCCTAGCAGTTCGAAATGCGGAATAGAGTCCCTCACCAACTTGTCGACAAAGATATCGGCAATTATGACAGAAGACGAGAAGCAAATGAGGTCCAATCTCAAGCCAAAGAATAGTAATAAAATTCAAATGTTAAACAAATCGAGACTAAAGCCAAAGATAACGAATATACAATCTATTCAACCAGGCTCATCTGTCGTTGAGAAAAAATCGGATAAACACCGATTCGAACACGAGCAAAACGTATCTGTAAATGTTAAACTCATGCATAGGCAACAACTAGAAGAGAAACGACAACGTATGATCGCAAAGATTAAAGATAATCCAAAATCGAATCTCGCTAGTAAAGCGAAGCACAAGCGCATTTTAATCTCTGCCAATGGTCTGAAGAAGAGTACTCGATTTGGTAGAGGACAAAGAGGTACGCGACCAGCAGTAAAATATTCTCGTAAAATGTGCGTTAATGAAAATGTCGATAAGGATTCGAAACCATCGAATAATCTACAGGAAAATTCGACAATAAATACGATACAGAAATGCATGCCACAGAATCTTATAAATAAATGCGATAATGAAGAAGAGGTGAAGGATCAAATTGTTGGATCGAAAAATACAAATCCTGATATAACGAATTACAAAAATAATAGTAACGAACTATTATTCAATAATCATACGACGAAACAATCGTACAGAAATAATATCTGCGACTCGACGCTACTTGAAAATTTAATTGAAAATTGTAATAAAAAAGAAGCCGTACATAAAAATTTGTCGTCGAAAGATCAGAAGTGTACAAAGAAAAAATCAGATACTGAGGCAAAAACGACGGAAAAAAGTTGCGATATTAAGGATAATATTACTAAGGAAGAAGAGATATTCAAAGATAATAACATGCATGTCAAAATTTCGGAGAAAGAAATGAATCCTAATGAGAAATATATTACTGTACAAGAAATTCCAGATAAAATAAAACCGGAAATATCTGATCAAACGGAAGATAAGATGAAATTGCCGAAACAATTTTCAAATCATGTTGACAAGTCCGAATGTAACAAGATATTAAGACACAAAGTGGATCAAGTGAAACGTGATTTATTTAGCGACGAGGAAAATGATCACAGGACATCTTTGGCCAGCGCAAGCACGAAAAATAACAAAACTAAGAAAATCGCTGAAACTCCAAACCTTGTTGAAGTTTCAAATAAGAAAGCAAATGTCGAGAACCCTAAACAGGAATTATCGACCGTTCTTCAATGTCTGCAGTTGGTGCCAGCATGCAAAAATGAACACAATGATGAAAACCAAACTGGAAAGCAGGATGAAGAATTGGATGAATTTGAAAACCGAATGAATAGTGAATCACAGGCAGCTAATGTTAATAATTATAAAGCCGAGTATCACTTTGTATACGACGACAGTACGCCGGTCAGGAAAAGAAGAAGGAGATACAGCAGCCACGAGTTGCAGATCGAGATCAATTATGCCGATCTTTCGGATCCGAATCCCACTGAATGTATTAAAATAATGAGAGCCACAGAGTTTGAGGAAATATTTAATCTATCGCCGAAATCTAGGAAAGGAAGGCCAGTAACTAAGAAATTATCTGTCAAGAATGTAAAAGGTTGCAAGACAATCAAGGAGGAGTGTATTTTAAAAAATAGTACTGCGAAACCTTTGGCCACATCATCTCCTGTGGAGGAGGCATCACGAAGTAAAATGAAGAAAGTGATTATCAAGAGTGTCGCAACAAATAAAAATGATAATGATGTGCAAGCTGATTCAAAGAAAAAACAGCAAAAGCATCAAGAAAAAGGTAAGATTGCAAAATATTCTGTTATGCTCTGAATCAGATGAAAATGTAATTCTTCGTTAGAGAAATTAATGTTAAATATTTTACTATTTTTCAGATATTATCAAAAGTCGAAAAAGAAAACTATCAGAAACAAAAGAAACGAAACAGGTATAATTTATAAAAATATTATATCTTGAAGTTTGAAGTAAAATTATATAATACAATTGCATAAATTAAAAAAAAAATTTTTCTTAAGGTTGAGAAGAAACCATGCACAACTGATCCGCAAATATTACTTAATAATTTGGATGATGCTCATCTGAATGAACTTTTATGTGCAGTTCATGGACCTGAATAAGTGCTCTCTTTTAGTATACTTTGGTATACTTTAGTATACTTTGGTATCGGTCAGTAATTCGTTCCTTGAGGTAAGAGGGGAATATACTCAGCAACAGTTGACCGATGGCTTTATTGACTCGATTTGATCACCGAAATTACTATAAGTTTGAGTTGATAAAAAACATATGCAACAAAAAAAATACATAAAATTTGAAATATTTTGAAAAAGTACAATATTTTATAATTTAAAATTATTCCAATATTTCTAATTTAATATATTTACACATACATTTATATGTATATACATATATGTATATACATATATGTATATATGTATTTATGTATTTACATAAATAAAATATAAATTATATTAATATATTTACATAAATAAAATATAAATTATATTAATATATTAGATATCGTTATATATTATACGTATAATGTATAATTTATATTGGCATAATGTTATTTCTTGTCTTTTGTGATAAATCTCGTGCGATTAATCCAACATAGTATATTTCGACGATCGAGTCGCGCGCGATCAATATTAATAAATCTACACCACTAGTTGACCGCTACCGGATATACTTCTGTTTCCTTTTCCTTGAAGGGAACAAATTATTGACCGCAAGTGTATAATATGTACATTACGAGAAATGTAAATATTGTCATCTTTTTTACGTAATACTATTGCTAATTATTTTCTATTTTTATACTGTACATAATGTTAGAATATTTTATTACATCGACAGTTACTATTAGATTTAATATTTTTATAATCTTTTAATTTTAACATAGTGTTTTTGTACATGATTATATGAAGATGAATATTATAGTATTATATCGTATAATTAATCACGCGTTTGTTTCTGTAATTGATTAAAGATTTGCACATGCGAAAATACTTTTTTTAAATACTTTCTTTTTAATACCGAGTTTTTAATTTGTGTAATAAATATTTTTATTTTTCTAATTTAAAAAAGTACTTAGTTTTATATTTATAATTATATTATTAAATAAGTGCAAAAATGTAAATATATAATGCACAATATAAATTAAATGCATTGTATATATTATACATATATATAGATATACATATATAGTGAGAGAAATTATTATAGGTAATAAGTAGATACTCTGTATGACACATTTAAGACAGCTTGATATCTAGATTATATTTCTAATTGACAATATTCATTAAGTTTTATTTTGTTTACTTTATGATACTGTATAAAACTTATGTTAATAATTTATGGTAAATGTATTATTTATATTATAATGTATATGTATATATACAATAATAGTTAATAATTTAATTAAAGAAAAAAAGAGGGAACAAAGTGGTTTTTGTTCTAACAGAAATATAGTTGTGTATATACATATTTTTATGATAAAAAGTACATCACACTATATAAAATTGAAAAATTTTTATATTAAAATATAAAAATGAAATATAACCAAGTTTATGAAATTTTCAGATGTAATATGTTACTAACATTTTTTTAAATCTTTACATTATATTTCTTTCATCGATGAATATAAAAGAATGTAAGGAAGAATATAAAATCTGAATATAAAAGAAAATATTTTATTTCTTACAAACCAGCAATAAATGTTATTTTTTTTTCTTAAACACACAGATACATTTTTAAATAATATTACATTTTATGTAGTTTTATTTTCTTATCTATGTATAGTTTAACTGAAAATGTTCACTAATTATTTGAACTTTTTTTTGAAAATTCTAACACATTGGATAGAAAAACAAATATAAAAGAAACACTTTAGAGATGAAGAAAAAACAAAATTCTAACACTTGGATTTTGCCACATTATCTACCTCTTCCACGACAGACATAAATTTTCGCCATTGTTGCAAATTTAAGCATATTCCTATAAAAAAATTAAAATAGAAATTAAATATTTTTTTGACTAATAAAATTAGGTCAATTTTATTAAGTTTGTAAAGAAATATTACCTTTTTTACCAGGTTTCAAATCGCCATCTTTGTCATAATACATTTCTCGAATATCTACGTAATATTTGCCTCTAAAATCCCTCACTGTCACTTGTCGATTGTTGCCCAAATCCCAGACAGTATTTTCGTCTTCCTTTTTTGGCTTTTTTGTTGCTGGTTTATCCTCTTCGGCCTTTTGTTTCCTTTTACTTGACTTTACTTCCTACATAAAAAAAAATACAATATAAGCACAAAACAAAAATTACAAAATTTTATTAATATTAAAAATAATATACCTCCTCGCTGCTGTCATCACTGTCAGACAGGTATTCCTTTGATTTTGGCATCTTCGGTTTAAAAGATCAACAGAACCTTTAAAAAAATTCAAATTTATTGTTGATTATTAAGGTCATTAATTTAAATACACGTACAAAAATAGATTCTTAAAACTGATTTTAATTTTCGACATATTTTACATTGTTACTTAATGTTTTACATTAAATAATTTGGTTCAAAAAAAGGAAAAATTAATGTTTTTATAAGAAAAACCTATTTTATTTATATACATTAAGGCTCGTCTACATAGGCAGTAAGCAATTCAGAGTAGAATAAGCAGAAATGGGATTTGCCTATTTCGTCGAAAGTAGCAAAATGAACAAATCTCATTTCGTATTGCTTATTCTTACTACTTACTGTTATTGTAGACCACGTTTTATGTATAAGAGCAGAGATATATAACCTAAATTTTGCGATTGCGTTTTCGTAAGACGAATTGATCAATATTTAAAAAAAAATTCACATATTATAATTACAAAGAAAAAGCGTAATTAAACACTTCGTTATCGCATATTTTAAGTTATAGTAATGTTATAAAATCAGAGATATAATCTAAAAAATAATATACCAGCTTTTTTTCAGGCGAAGTCCAGATTTTTCTTTTTGTGTCAAGTAATGTCGCGCATGCGCACTTTGTGCAGTTCGATCGCGTAGCAGACGCTATAGTAGAAGCTGCGTCCGCTTTGACGCTTTCAGCGCTATAAGCATCTTCTGTTTTCGTTGTATATTGAATAAAATTTTACAATAAAATTTTATACCAATTTATATACGTTTATATGCGATTTCCTCGATTTTTAATGATTTAAATTTTTTATTCCAAATTTTTCAAAAATGTCTTACCAATTTTGTGTATATAGTCTTGATATTGATAAAATATAATTTATCAAAAAAGATCTCTTTTATTATGATTATCATCCTTACTTCTCTCTCAGAGATTACACAAAAATTCGAGTGCAAAAATACAATAAAATAAAAAATATCTTACGAGCTTTCTATAAAACGAAGCAAAATCTTGATCTTCTTGATTTGCAAATCTTTAATTTACTACAAATCTAATATACTTTTATTGTTTCTATTAATAACTTAAAAATTATTCCTAACACTTCTGCAAGCGTTGGTACATAATATTTTTCAGCTTGTGTATCTTATAAATAGCTTCGCACAATTGTATTAATGCTTGTATTTTTTGGAACAATAGTCGGTATATTATCTGATTTTATGACAAATAATCACTTAATTCTATTGCAATGCGTCCTGTAATACAAGACACACTGTAAATTAACGTAAGATACACATATACACACATTTATTCGCTTTCTTCTTTAGAACGTTCTCTATCCGAGCGTCTAGATTTCTTCTTACGTCGACTTGGACTACGTGATCTAGATTTATGTCTACGAGAACGCGATCGCGATCGATGTCGATGCCTGAAAATCATGAAAATCATATATATTACAATATTGCATAGATATATATTATACATTATAATATTATGTATTATTTATAATATTAAAATTTATATATTTTACATATATATAATATATAATATTAAATATAAAAAATATAATATATAAAATATATATTATATATATATAATATAATGTTAACATTCTAGAAAAAAGTTTACCGATCCTTATGACGATACTGGGATCTAGACCTATCACGCTCTCGATCCTCATCTCGTGTCATCGAATCTCTGTCTCTATCACGATCTCTCATCATAGAATCTTTCTCTCTGTCGCGATCACGATCTCTATCCTTGTCTCTGTCCCTGTCTCTGCCCATGGAATCCAGTTCTCGATCTCTATCCCTATCTCTGTCTCGTTCCCGATCTCTTCCGTCCCGCTGATCACGCTGTTGTATTAAGGGTGGAATGGATGTTGGTGGAACCATGGTAGGTATCGTCTTAGGTCCCATGTCTTTGTCGTCTTCACCTTCGGTCATTGGGATTGCCAGATTTGTCGGCTGCCATGTCTAAAAAGAGGTCAAAAAGTGAGCGATATTTTTACGAATATATATATATATATATATATATATATATAGTATATTTTCTTCAATATTATATAACTTTTCAGACAATTTACATAAAGCTATTCTCTTACCGGATCATTACCCCACTGATTGTCCTGCGTAGGTTCATAACTCTGATAATATGGATCCGCTTCCGGCATGTAAAACGGCGCTGGTTCTCCAGCGTATCCCGGTGGAGGCATATCAAACGGTGGTGGTATTCCTGCTCCAGGAGGCGGTACAGTCATATCGGGAAAACCTGGTTTTCTCGAATACTCCCTTCTATCGGCGGTCATGACTTGTATGACATTTCCTTTCGGCGGAGATTTGTCCAGATTTCTTCGGGAAGCTAAACCAGAACTTCCAATGACGTCTATAGTCCCTGCCATCTTTCGTCCTGGTGGTGGACCTGCCCTCTTAGGGCCCATAATACCAGAGTATTTACTGTTATCATTGGTTATCGCCACTTGAGGTACCCTCATGCTGTTAGGATTACCACTGCCACCTCCTGCATTCAAGATTAACCCCACTCCTGATTCGCTGCGCATTCGTTTCTGACGTTCACAATACGCCCTCCAGGTCTCTTCATTGAAACCATAGTTGAAGTAATCCGTGATATCTGCACCAGGCTGTCTCCAAGGTTTATCCTCCAATTGATCCAAATTATATTCATGAGCTGGTATCCCGTTGATAACTCCAATAGTTTCAAATTCATCTATACTGAATTTTCCTGGCTGTTTGCTCAATTTATCCGGTACACCAGACGCATTGGTCAAAAGTCCTCCTCTCTTGATATTTAAGCTGCCATATGCTGGGGTAGATTTGATATCTCCAATCACAACATGTACATCATCATCAGAGTCAGAGTCACTGGCTGCTTCGCCATCCTCTTGACTAGAAGCTTCTCTAGTCCCATTTTTACTTGCATCTGCATTATTCTCTTCCTGTACATTATTCAATGAAGAGGATTCTTCAATACCACCAACAGGGGAGCTAACACTCTCTTGCATCTGTAGAAATAAATGTATGTAAATATTTTAAGAACATATCAAAGTGTATACGAAAGGGATAAAACATATGAAAAAAATAAAAGAGAAATAACACATAATTCGTACACAAGCTGTAGTTCATTAATCAATTTATGGTATAATTTTTCTTTTATTTATATACTAATGTAATTGTTTATTGCACTAAACACATTACACATTGGATTATATTACTCTATTAAAGTGTGCAAATTAAAAAAAGAATGTATAGAAAATATTGTAGAGCTTCAAAATTAAAATAAATATAATTAAAGAATCTTTCTAAATTTGAACATATCTTCAAGTGTTTTTTTTTTGTGAGAAAAATTAAATTATAACGAATAATTGAGAGAGGTTATGTCATGCGTCTACCTCGGGCGGGGTTTCATTAATTCCCTCGATTTTATGCTCCTCTTCAGATTGAGATTTCTCTTGACTTTTGATCGAATCATTTTGCTGACTTTCCGATTGTATATTAGCGTATTCCTTTCCATCGGCGGAATCTCCGTACAACCACTGATCCTCGTTTTCGTCCGCCATTTTTCCTTATTTTCTTTTGACAAGCACGTTGCACGCCTTTTTGACACGGAGCATATAATCATTATAGATGGCCAATCCGTACATATTTATTCTAGAATCGTAGAAATAATATTATAATAAAATATAATAATATAATATTATTAATATTATATAATAATATAAATAAAATATTATATAATAAAAAATTATTATTATAATTATAATATAATAATAATAATAATAATGATGATGATGATGATGATGATGATTAATAATTATAATAATCACATAATATATATATTATAAATATTATTTTTTAATATTATTTCTAGGGAGTCTAATTTATATTTGCTAGATAAGCAAGAAGCTGATTGGCTCCCTGTTTCATTTCGTAAAAAATCCTAAAGGAGAAAATCCTTAAGTTGGCAGCACTGATTAAATGTCCGTCGAAGAAGAGACATGCTTCTCTCGATTGTACATATCAATGGTCTTGACGGGTTTGATTGACGGACCGATCTCAATTAGTCAATTTAAAATGACGTCTGTCAAGTGAAGAGAAATCTTCTTTCTCTTTCTTTTATATATTTATATTGCATTTTCAGCGACACAATACTTTTCACAGAGGCTATCATGGTAAGAAATTATAAGTAATCTTTCTCGTATCCGCGAGACAAAATTGGTCCATGATCTGACAGAGTCTGCATCTTGACGTTTCGTCTCTTTGCGCTAGATTGATGTATAAAAATAAAAATATTGATAAAATTTGTGCGTAAAATATATAATTTTTTTTAGGACGACGATGCAGCTGCATTGCAGAATCTGGAACAGCTCATGACAGAATTTTTCTCTCCGGAAACGACCAACGAAAGAAAACGCATGATCGAACGTAGTTTTCAAGAATTCGCCGCGCAAATTGACTCCTGGAAACCGTGTTTGCATTTCTTGTCCTCTACAAGCAATCATTATGTCAGTATGTTTGCTCTGTCCACTCTGGAGGTAAGTGTGTAATATCATTTTGTATGGAATAGTGACTTTCTCTGATATGATCTTCTCTGATTTAATCTGAATTATTTACATAGACAACTATAGGAAGACGATGGCCCATTCTTCCATGGGAGGATAGGGCTCTTACAAGATCTACTTTGTATACATTATCATTAGAAAGAGACGTAGCGCCTTTTGTAAGGAATAAAGTAGTGAAATTGGTAGTGGATATAGCAAGACACGACTGGCCACATTTCTATCCTGATTTTTACTCCAACATTTTACAGGTTTATATAAATGAAATTTTTTAAATCTTCTCATACAAATGAGTTGCAGTTAATTAGGCTGTATAATATTGTCTAATTTTTATCATAGCTATTAGATCACAAACATACAAGATTGTTGGGACTTGTGTATTTGAGAACAGCTTCAGAGGAATTAGCCACACCGAGGGAAGATCTGCCAATGCACAGAAAAAGTGAACTGTTCAGATTACTGAGTTCACAAGTGCCTCTGACTTTGGATACACTTACAAGTATAATTGATATCATTGGAATTTAGATTGTATGTTATAACATTATATAACATTATATTAATAATTTTATCTTTTTCTTTTGTTATGCTAGTTCTTTTAAAAGAGACTACAAAATTACAAAGTCGTTCTGGAACTGTTACACCACCTCCATCACCTACCAGTGGACAAAGTATCGCACCTGCGCGTACAGTATTAGATGTCGAGGGATTGGCAACTGGCACCAGTGAAGTTTGCACAGCTACCCTTGAAGTTTTAGCACATTTATTTAGTTGGATAGATCTATCAAGCAATATCTCTGCTAATTTATTGGATGCTGTTTTTTCTTGTGCTAAATATTATGATGCAATGGTAAGAGATTTTCACAAGATTGCATCTCTATATGTATTACCAGAAAGAAAATAATTTGTCCCTGTTTTGATAGAATGGTAAACAAATAGAAATGGCTGTTCAAGCTTTGACAACGATTAATGAGCTTTTATATAGACCACTTTGCTCGCCTGATGCAACTGACACATTGTTGTTGGAAATATTTCAAAATGGTGTTGGTTTATTTCAATTAATGGAACGTCTAGATTCTATAGAGGAAAGGTATGTGCACCTAGAAGAATTTGTGATATTTTCAAGATTATATTTGCAAAATAAAATGTGTTCTTTCAGCTATATGGAGAAAATGACAGAGTTTTTACAATTATTTGTAACAAATCATCTAAAGAGAATGGAATCGAGCTCAAAATTTCCAGTAAATACATTATTAGAAGTATTGTGCCATCACACATTCCAACAAGCTTCTACCGTAAACGGTTATTTGCGTTGTTTAGACGTTTGGACTACACTTTTGGAAAGTACACAGTCGCGATATTCTGCTGTTGCATTAGCCCTCGCGGAACGGATCTTACAAAAAATGAGTTTTAAATTTAATGCTCGGGTATTAAGGGATCTCGATACGGAAAGTTTAGATGAGAATGTAGGTATAAATCTTTTATATATATATATAATTTAAATCAGAGATTATATATTAAATGTTTCATTAAATTTTACAATTTTTATTTTTACAGGAGGAAACAGAATGGCAGCATTTTCTGAGATGCAATGTAGAATGTTTAGCAAAAATTGCCGACATCTCACCTGCTCCAGTATTTACACTATTGGTAATTTATAATGTATTATGTTATCTGTGTGTTGTAATATAATTTATAATGTGTTATAATATATCTTATATGTATTTTTATATATGATAATATTAATATTATTAATATTGAGAGAGAATGTATTTTTCAGTATCGTTCATGGAGAGAAGGATTAATTATTTTCGGGGAATTAGGCGCTGCCATTGCCAATGGCCAAGTTATTTTACTAAATGACACAGAAGCATCAAACGTACATGCTCATTTGAGAGATCTTGCATCAACTACACAAGCTTTGACCAGGCTATATTCTCTTTTTATCGGTAAACTATTGCAAAATATTGGAAATATTGCGAGTAATTTTATTAATTTTTATTTTGTGCGAATAATGTAATAAATTATCTATATCGATTATTTATATCGATAGGAGATCAAACAAATGTTGATCAAGCTTTAGCTGAGGAAGTTGTATCGCAAACTCTAGATGCGTGTATATTCGCAAGAGATAATCAATTATATAAAGCGGCACTTCAACCAGCTGCCATCGTAATAGATCTTATAGAAGTGTAAGTTCTTAGCTACATTTCTTACATATTTTTTTAAGTATAAGAACGATTGATATATTCATATGTAGGCACTTATATCTTTATTTGCGCTATTAGACATTCACAGCTTTTGGCTTCTCTTCAAGCATGGTGTCATTGGATAGTCGGAAAACCAGAAAAGACAAAGGAAGCACTCTGTCAGCGTTGCATCGATTCATGCATTTGGGCAACAACATATACCGCGTCCTGTGATCATTCACCTCCTGTAAATCTTGTCCATTCCGCTGTTCATCTTTTTCAAAGCATTACCGCCATTTTAAAACCAATCCTGTGGGACCAACCGATTTTTAGGAATTTAATTTCCACGGGCACGTATCCGTACTTGAAGCCAGATACAATTAAAGTTCTGCGAAGAGCATTGATAAACGGAATTATATTACCACCTGGTGATGCAGCAATAAGGCAAAGATTATTGGGTGAGCTATTAGATTATTAAATTTATTATTGATATAAAACGCCTACTATACAGTTTTTGTTTTTATGAAAAAAGTATATAAAAAAAATTGTATTTAGGTACTATGATATTAGCCTTGTCTGCACCTTTGGGTATGCAAGGGCAACCAATGCCTTTAGAATCGACAATTTCGATTGCAGTAATGCCATTGACTCAATTACTAGAAGATTGCGCATCTTCGTCTACGACTATAAAAAAAATGTTACACTCATGTTTGGAATCAATCATAAATAGGACATTGGAGTTATTATCTTATGTTATTAGATGTCAGATTATATGTGAAGTGTTACTTGGCTTTCTACACTCAGCATTTTCAGTATTACAACAACAATTAGGTCCCGAATTTATGCAAAATGCTGTTCAAGGCATGCTGCAACTTTACACCAGGTTTGTATAAGATATGACATTACACAGGCAGAAATATTATTTAATATTATTTAATCAAGATGCAAGCAGATTACATCATCCTAGTTTTCTTTATTAAAATTTTCTCCAAAGAGTTTTCACAATGAAAATCAAGCTTTCTTATTTTTTTTTTTGTGAGTAATAGAGGAAAAAATTACATTATTATTATGTCAATTATATATACATATATATTTTCATGAAAATTATATTTTCTGTTGAAAAAATTATATTTTCAAGAATTGAAGTGTTTTAACAGAGCATAAATTGATTCATTTACAGGGAAAACATTTCTGCTGGTCCTGCATTAGATCAGTTATTAGAAATTTTGATACTCGTTGTATCAGCACCCAGCAATGCATTTAAAGCATTTGTTCCTTCTGTAACAAATCTGTGTTTAGGTCAGGTATGGCCTGCTGTTGGAAACAACCTAAGTGCTCATCCAGATACAACATTAGTTTTATTGAAACTCTTTCATAGGTAACGTATTAATAGCATATTTTTATTCCTAGTTTAAACATTTTTTCACAAAATTATTAATTTTTAGTATTCTTATGCATCGATGGCAATATTTCTATAATACTTCGGTATTGCGTACTCTTGGGCATCCCGATGAAGAGGAATTTGTCGAGCATAAAGAAGAATTAGTGGCAATTTTAGAGGCATTTGGTCAAGCTCTACTTCAATCGGACGTCAATATATTCCGACAGAGCTTGCAGAGCCTCGAGCAGTTAAATATCAGGTGGCGACTTTATCAACGAGCTATATTCAAGGTTCATCTTCTCGAGAGATTTTTGATGGCATTGTTCACAGTTTTATTTCAACAGTAAGTATTATATTTCAATTATAGTATAATACAATAAATATAGTATAATATATATATTATTTTTTTAAGTATAGTATATTATCGTATAGTATAGTATTAGTAATATTATCTACCAATAAATTTTTATTATTTATATATTTATACTTAGAAAATATATAATACTCTTAAATTTTTATAGGTCTCACAATTTACTAGCGGATGAAATAGCCGTCGCTATTCACAGTTTAGCATCTGTCAACATAGGATGGTTCTTTGGCCATTTTTTGCCAACATTCTTGGCAACTTGCGAAGGCGTAGACGATATGCAGAGAGCCACGTTATTAGGAAACTTTGATAAATCCACAGTGTGTTTAATCATTAGCATTTTTTTAATATAAAAAAATATAAGTATAAATGTAATACATGCGCGATAAGAATAGTCACTTAGAACACACTTTTTTTTTAGGATCAACCAACTCTGACAAGATCAGTTCTTCAGCTTATTTCGGACTTAAGATGTTATCAGCTGTGCCGACCGGGCTGAAACGCAAATTAGGGTGAAATTTGTAATTTAAAATTTCTCAAGAATTTTACACTGGCATTTAATGAAAGCATTTTTATCAATCTCTTTGGTATGTGCCTCAAAGGGATACAGATACAAGAGACTTTAATCATAGAACCAAAAAAGACAAGAGACCTTTTATAAACGTTTACTGTTCTGTGTATATCACTGCCATACCATCCTTTTGTGATGTTGTAAATGCCATTATATTGCGAGTAAAGCATGTCTTTTTATATAAAAGTCTATAATCGCTTATATTTTTCAGTATTTCTCTAAATGTCTACCATTTATCTCTTTATGTCTTCTATTTTTTATAGAGGTATGTAGGTGTAATATATGTATTGATAAAAATTGTAGCAAAAAATAATACTATTTATTATTGTTTATTGTTTATTACAAATTATAAGAAAATTGTTAAAAACATGCTATTCATTACATATATTATTAATGAATTTAGATACATTATTTTTAACAGAAAAATTTTATGACAAATACATTTAATTTTTATTATTATTTGTTTTTATTGTTGATATATTCATATACCATAAAATAATCACGTTTGTATAGCAGTCAGGTAAAGGTAGGATTCTTATAGAATCTTCCTAACTTTACCTGACTGCTTTCTACAAGAACTGCAACCAACTTTTAGCTTCAATCTTATCTAGGGTGCGTGCAAAAATCCTACTCGTAGCATTCAAATGACCAATCAAGACAATTATTTGATCAATAAATGTCACTTCATGAGTGAAGAATTTCCGAACTTATTCTAGAATATTACATTTGACGTATACAGTTTGTAACATGGTAGAAGTATATTTCCACACTTCCACCATGATTTGTTAGATTCCAATATGATACTTTGTAAATGATCATCTGTCAAATGTCAAACTTATACAAAGTGTAATTCGTGAAATACATAATACGATTTATTATAATGGCAGCGATTGATAAAGTTAAAATTATCGTAGTAGGCGATTCAGGTAAATATAAGAAATAATATACTGTATTATCCATTTTTTACAGAATATTATTGATATTTATACAATATTTCATTTGAATAAAATGTGATACAAACTGCCCTAACTATTATAATAAAATTCTCTTATTCTTCGTTATTGATATCATATTACACTATTAAATATTAAAATTATAATCAAGTTTAGGTTATATATAATTTATATCATATTGCACTATAAACATTATATATCATATTAGATAGTTATCATTGATATTATTTTTATAAAAGAATATAGGATTTCACTAATGATGTTTGCATTATTGCAGGTGTTGGTAAAACATCATTGACACATTTAATATGCCAACAGCAACCTATTAGCAATCCTTCCTGGACCGTAGGTTGTTCAGTGGAAGTAAAGCTGCACGAATACAAAGAAGGGACACCTAATCAGAGAAGATACTTTATCGAGCTATGGGACATTGGTGGTAGTCAAAATCATACAAATACAAGATCTGTATTTTATAATTCCACAAATGGTATATATATTTTACAGCAATGTTAAATACAATATTATATCTAATTTGGATATATAATTGTGACAGAATGTGACAGTGATTGCAAATATATGTCGTTCATAACTAGGCATAATATTAGTCCACGATTTAACAAATCGTAAATCACAGCAGAATCTTCAGAAATGGCTGGAGGAAGTTTTAAGTAAAGATGGAACTTCGTCAAGGTCCAAGTTATTTGAGGACTTTGATCCAGAGAAATTCGTAGGCTCGACACAGGTGATAAAAACTTTCCACATTGCTAATTATGATATATAATTTATTCTATGTGTATTCATGTATTAACATTTATTCTCAATATATAGATAACATTTATTTTCAGATTCCAATCCTAGTTATTGGTACAAAGTTTGACCTAATCTCAGAATCCAATTTTATAAAATCCAATGTACACAGGCGTTCTGCAACGATTGCAGAAGAATGTGGTGCCGATGAAATATTTTTGGTAAATATTATTTGATAAATTCACATGAGAACAATGTTTGACCTTATTTATTTTCACAGGATTGTCGCCAGATAAGAGCTTTAGCAGCAGGGTCCAGTTCATCTGTGAAGCTCAGCAGATTTTTTGATAAAGTTATTGAAAGACGTTACTATTCCTCCAGAGAAGCCACCAATCTTGACAAACGAAGACCACCACTCTACACTTCCTCGTATCCAAAGTTTCATCATAATGATTAAATATGCAAAGAATAATCTCTTAAGGGAAATATTTTCATGTTACACAGAATAATTCTTGTAACATGAAAGATATTTGTAGGATTGACTGGATTAAGTATTGCAAGGCTGTTGATGTCGCACTTCTTATCCACATTCCTAATCTTCCTATGGAAGTATTTTACCAGATGTGCTCAAAGATGACTGTGAACAGCATATATAAAAATATATTAAGTTCATAATATTTTTCATCTATATTGTAAAAATATACCTATATATTATATATACAATCATTTCATAATGTAACACAGTTATATAATCTATATAATTTATATAATCTTTAATATATGAAATAATGATTGTTATAAGATTAATTTGTGTCACAATATTTAAGAAAATTATTTCTTTGAAAAATTTGTATGCTATCCCCTCTCTTAAATTTGTTAAATTTATATTACGAATCTATATAAATTATTTTTAATAAATAATAAAATATTTATGTGAAAATTGAGATTAAAATAATTGCAATTTGATCTGAGAAAATGAAAATTCGCGCTTAGCCGTCAACGGATTTGCGAGACTACGATTAGAGCTTATCTAGTTATTTTGTGGTAACTTTTTGAAGTCGCATGTTGCGCGCGGCGAATGAATCTTTCAAAAAGCACGTCCCCACCGTGCAGATGAGTTCGAGGATATACGTGACATTCGCACGTATGTTTGAATTGACAGGTGCAACGAGAAAAGCAGGTCTTTTCGTTTGTATATAAATATTATATATCTTGTGAATCAAAACGAAATCTTGTCACACGATCCTTCTCGTAAAATCAAGGCGCCTTTCTTTTTTAGCCTTTCTTCACGTGTGTGAGTTTAATTTGGAATATACATCTTGCCATTTTTTTACATATGTTTATTAATGTCAAGGTTATCGCACCTGCGTATCATTAATGACTAATGCTAATGATTGACTATATATTAATTTTATTAATTCAATGTTCTTATTCGATTTTTGCGATTAAACGATCAATATTATATTATAAATATGATAATATAGATAAGTCATAGTTTTAAATAGGCCTTTGTTTTTCAGATAATATTTTGCAGTCATGACTTGCTGTCTTGTAAAGAAGTGTATCAGTGTGAATTATCTTTCCCACGTGCTGGCTCGCGTTCAACCAGTATTTTATATCCAAAGATGTGGCTATGCTCACAATATAGACATAAACTTGAATGATGGACCAGTCAGTATTTTGAAGCAAAAAATAGTGAGAGGAGAGTTGATGAATGATGCACATCAGATGAAAGTGGCACAGATTTTGCAGAGAATTTACCAAGAGGTACACGATTATAAGCCACAACAATTAAATTTATTGGAAAAATGGTTTGGCGGCAGCAAGAAAGATATGCCAAAAGGACTGTACATTCATGGAGCAGTCGGTGGAGGTAAAACAACGTTGATGGATCTATTTTACAATTGCTGCCAGGTATCTTTCGGGTTGCTTTCTCACACAAATATTGCATATGAAAAGCTAGATAACATGTCTTAATCATTTGATATTTTTTTCCAAATAAAGTAATGTGTAAAAAAATGTAAGGAAATAATGTAATAGTTATACATAAATAATAGATGTCAAAACAAAATATTACTGTACTTTTTAAAACTAAAATAAATTAAGAAATAAAAAATTATTAATATACAATATATAATAAACAACTAAAAATTAGGAATAAATGTGAAATAATAGCTTTTCATGTGTAATATAGAATAAAAGGAATATTTTGGAATTTTATAATACAATATGTATTTCTTAATAAAAACATTTCGTTTCAGATTGAAAATAAGAAAAGAGTTCATTTTCACTCTTTCATGTTGGATGTACATAGTAGAGTGCATAAAGTAAAAAAGATGATTGTGCGAGATACTACTAGTACCAAACTGCAACCTTTTGATCCGATACCTCCTGTTGCATCCAGTATTGCCGAAGAGACTTGGCTATTATGCTTTGATGAATTTCAGGTTGATATTCACATATTATTTTCAAGAAAAGAATCACCAATGATAAAATGCATCAATAAAAACAATTATATTACAGGTGACGGACGTTGCAGATGCTATGATATTGAAACGGCTATTTACGGAGCTATTTGATAATGGCATTATAGTAGTCGCGACTAGTAATAGATCGCCCGATGATTTGTACAAGAACGGACTACAACGGGGAAACTTCGTGCCATTTATAAAAGTGCTAAAGGATCATTGCTATGTATGTAACTTGGATTCTGGAATAGATTACAGATTGAGGTCGGGGACAGGAAACAAGAAAATATACTTCATGTATGTGAAAATCGATAAATTGTCATTATATAATAATCGTCTATATGCTCGCTATTTAACGAGCCGTGTAAATTATAAGAAAAGGCAAGGATGCGACAAACGACGTGGACAAAGTTTTCAAATATTTATGCTCTATGGAGAATGATGTGATACGACCACGAACGATCTCTATAAGGGGACGCAACGTCACTTTCCGAAAAACCTGCGGGCAGGTGCTGGATTCCACGTTCGAAGAATTGTGTGACAGAGTAAGATGGATGTCTTCTGCTCATAAAGTTGTATGTTAATGAAATGTATTGTGAAAATTGTGATACAAATTACATAATATGGTTATTATTTCTGCACAGCCTCTTGGAGCAATCGATTATTTGGAATTGAGTCAAGTGTTTCATACAATAATAATAAGGGATGTACCTCAATTTAATCTACGACTTAAATCTCAAGCCAGACGATTTATTACTCTTATCGATACACTGTATGATAATAGGGTAAAGCATATTTCTGTGTATAAAATGACAACTTCTAATATCTGTCTTAATATCTAATATCTGGCTTCTAATATATGATAATTTGCATTTAATCTATCTAATTAATATTGGAGAAGATAAAACAAATTTATAATAACTCATAGGTACGGGTAGTTATGTCAGCAGCTGTGCCACATACGCAACTATTTTTACCAGAAAATGAATCCGAATATACTGATGAGAAAAGAATGCTGATGGATGACTTAAAGATTTCACATGGCTCGGTAAATATTCTAATTTGACAAAAACAGCGCATTTTTATTAGATTATTTGCTAATTATGTTAATTTCACATACAGGAAGATCACAAAGCAAATATCTTTACTGGTGAAGAAGAATTATTTGCATTTGATCGCACTGTATCACGTTTAGCTGAGATGCAGACTTCGCAGTACTGGGAACAGTGGGAGCATCATAGATAATGATGATTTTAACTAGTGCAAGTAGATTTATGTAGTTCTATATGAATTTACAGCACACATATTAACAATAAAATTTTAAAGAGATAATTTCACAAGTAAAATTATATAAGCTTTTGTCAAATGTGTGCGATTTACTTAGAATGTAGTTTTTACACTTTGTCAGTATTTTATTTTATGGAAAGTAAAGGTAAATAATTTTTGGAAAGAAGTTTTCGAAATCTAATATTAAAATATTTATTTAATTATTTATGAATGTTAAACTTTAACACTAACATCTAAATGTATGTTTCTGTATCTATGTATCTATGTACTTATGTATCTATATGTACTTATGTATTTATGTACATATGTAAAACATGATGCAAGTACACTATTTGCATCATGATGTAAATGTATAAATTACATGAAATTTTAAAATTGGCTTATGTGTTATAATTACTCACTTTTTTGTGATATTGATAGCATATGTCGAGAAGATTACCGATGTCATATAGTTTGTAGTTTAGTAGGTTGAAAAAATTTTCAATCACATCATCTATTTAGACACCAACAATGGTCATATCAGAATTAAATGATTATACATAGGAGTTCACTCACTCGATAGCGTACACAACGGAAAAGAAAAAAAATTATATTTTTTTATACACATTTTAGATAATATTTACGAATATTATTTCCTGGAATAAAAATATAAGATAAAATTTTTCTCTGAAATTCGACAGATATAACAAGATATTAATAAAAAACGTTTTATGTATATTGCTTTGAGGTTTTATTGTGTATTATCCCTAACCCTAAATATAACACGTGACAGATAAGTGGCAAGTTGTTTTGTATACTTTATTTTAATGCAATGTATAGCTTCATCTTATTTTTATAATTCTTATCATCTCATACAATTATATAATACAGAGCTGTTTTATCAATTCGAAAAATAAGTTTAGGCAGGAAAGTAGATTGTTTTCCACGTTGGTTTACGAATTTACCAACAGTTTTGTGTTTCATTTTAAGTAAACAGACACAGGTGGGACAAACAAAGGTGACGAGTATAAAGTCACATCGATACAGTAGTTATTTTGCACATTCAATCTCTGATATATCTTAAATTTTTCTATTGAAATTGAAATTATGGCTAATCCAGCTCCGATAGTTCCTGAGGTAATCGAATCAGTTAAACGTAAGTAATGCAATAATTTTAATACTATATATTATATTATTCCAATGCATATCTTTTTATGTATAAAATTAGATATATATAATTGCGTATATATAATTATATATATGGATATATATATATATATATATATATATATATTTATTATGTATATATATATATTATTTATTATGTATATATATATATATATATTTATTTATATATATATATATATTTTTCTTATATTTATACTCTTTAGCTTGGCTAAAATTCTTGGAAGTAAACATTAATGAGCCAGCAATAAACAAAAGTGTACGACAGATACGTTATTTAGCTTCCACATTAACTGGTGACAATAAAATAGCTTGGTTATTAAAATTGATAAACTTCATAGATTTGACTTCTTTGAGTGGTAATGAAACTAGCGTCAACATGGAGTTTTTGTGTAGAAAGGTATATAAGAAAAGTGATTTTTTAATATAAATTTATATTAGAAATTATTTTTTAAAATAAATAATTGATTAACAATTAATATTGCAGGCTACAACAATTGCAGATCGCATTTCACTGAAATGGGATAAACCACTTCATCCAGCAGGCATTTGCGTTTATCCCTCCAGAATAAAGGATGTAGCAGATTTTTTAAAGACATCAAAAATAAGCCAGGTCCAATTAAAGTCGTTAGCGGTAAGAAAATAAATCTTTTTCTGGGTTAAGAAAGATATTAATGTCGAACGATATTGTCTAATAATAATGTTTATATCAGTGGCTGGTGGGTTTCCTTCTGGACAATATCCTTTAGAGACCCGGTTGCAAGAAGTGCGCTGTGCCATAGAATATGGAGCGCAAGAAATAGATGTTGTGATCGATCGATCGTTAGCTTTGAATCATGAATGGGTAGCATTGTACAATGATCTAGTAGCTATTCGCAATGCTTGTAACAAGAAAGGAAAAATATGTCTGAAAGTTATACTATCAACAGGAGAACTATTTAACTTCAAAAATGTGTACAAAACGTCTATGATAGCTATGTTTGCTGGCGCTAATTTTATCAAGACATCTACAGGAAAAGAGGAAGTTAATGCAATTTTGCCTATGGGTATTGTCATGTGTAGAGCGATAAAGGATTATGAGAGATTGACATCTACAAAGGTAATGTATAATTTGAATGCAATTTCTCTTAGAAAGCTCATAGCATAGCTCTATAACATATCTTTTGTTTATAGGTTGGCATTAAACCTGCTGGAGGTATACAAACTGCGCAAGATGCTCTTGAATGGATGGTTTTAATCAAGGAAGAATTAGGACAAGATTGGTTGACAAGCAGCCGTTTCAGAATTGGTGCATCCAAATTGCTGGATAATATTATAGAAGAAATTAATGAAACCTGTAAAAATGTGGTACCACAAGATACAGAAGATTATAAAGATGTAAGTACTGAAGAAAAAATTGTAAACAAGGCTGAATCTAAATAAGAAAGTTAGATCTGACTGGAACAAATAAATAAAAAGTTTTTATATTATTTTTATACACAATTTAAGAAATAATTCTTGGAATATATTAATCTGTGTTTTAATAAAATAGTTTTTATCTCAAACTTTTAAGAACTGATCTATACAAGAAAAACTAATAAAGGCAAAATAATAAATTGTTTATTTAGTACCTTTTGTCAGTATGGCAGAATTAATTGGTTTTCTTACTTTCGTTCTTTTCGTTTAATCATAATTTCCCTTGCTTAATTATATTATAGTTGATCCAATTATTTCTTAGTCCATGAATGTATCTGAAAATGAGAGAATTTTTTTATTTCAATTAATTTGAGAGATTTTTAAATTAAATTTAATCAATATTGTATATGCTAAAAATCTCTCACAACAAAAAATGCAAGAACATTTATGTAAAAAATTATGTACAAAAACCACGAATCCTATTATATTGCCCAGATAGCCACGGTAATTATTATGACATCAAAATGATGTCATAATAATTACTGTGGCTATCTGGGTGTATATAGTATATATCTTATGAGCTTTAACATTTCTTATATGTATAAAAAATAAAAACAAGTTTTTTAATTTTGAAAAGCAATTATTTATGATTAATATGAATAATATAAAAGATAATTAAAATAGATCCTCTTCAAAAATAACAAGATACTGCATCAGAACAATTGATATCGCGACGCCCATGTGTCTAAATATATCCTCATCAGTAAATAGATTCCGCATAATCAACATACTTAGTACTTCGTTGCGGGCACATAAATACGAGTATCTGTTTCAAATGTCTTTGTAAAATAATCTAAAATTTATTTGTTTCTTTGTTTTAATAAACGATCATAATAATTGTCAATGTAGTAAAGCCGAAGTACAAAATACGAGTTGCACATCACAAAGCGTTTAGATTTTTTTAAAATTTACTAATTTACTATTTGTTTGGATGTCATTATAAGTTTATACAAAAAAATATTGTATAATAAGATCTAATTGTGTATAATTGCAGTTATAAATTGATAACCCAGATAGCACAGCGAATTCAAATTTGAAAAAGGACTCAAATTCGTGACATACAAATGAATTCTTTTTGAATTCGCTGTGCTATCTGGAAATTTATGTTATATTTATAATAGTTTAATAATTTGCAGAAAAAGAAAGATGAAGAGACTTTATGATATAATAATTCTCCAGATTATCCTAAAGTTCATCCTAACATTTCGTTCCGAAATCATTCATCATTTAAAAATCTCAAAAAATTAATAATCGAGAAGGAATATTTGAATAACACGATGTAGAACCTTTCTCTCTCCACGATATTATTGTATTATCAGTTTAGGATTCAGCTTGCGATTTTGCCTGTACCGGGGGAGGCGAAGGCGGGCGTTCGCAACCGGAAATTGAGGCTCAAATCCAATATAGATCGATCAATAAATAGATCCCGAGCCGGCACGAGAATCGCGTCACAGAGTCGACCGCTCTGTAGTATTTACAGCTTACAAGCCCGTCGTATCTCGCATCTTCTGGCAAAGCCTATCGTGACACCGTTTCGGCCGGGCAACGGCCAGGTCGGGCCCCCGGTTGTGTCCGTTTCTTCCATCGTCGGGGCTTTATTCTGCTTTAGTCGTCGCCTGGCTCGTCGATTCTAGCAGCCGTTTTCCGCGGATTCCAGAGCGACGTAGCAGCTGATGCAGTGAGTCCTCCGCATCCTCTCTGCGCCACGCGCAGCAGTTTATCATCTCGCCAACCCCCGCCGACTCGCGTGGGAAATTTATACCCTCGCTAAGCTTGGCTCGGCAAGTAATACACGACACCACCACCTCCCTTGTCCTATTATACTCGTGTACCGTCACTTCCGGGTATATAACGCAGATTCGCGGGCCTGCGAGATGCCGGCAAAAATAGAGCGAAAGGGAGAAGTCACGGTTCACCCTCTCTTACACGAGCGAAGTTCTCCGAGAAATTTGCAACAAATATGATTGATTACAAAATTAAATTATATGTTTAACTTAAATATGGTTCTTACAAATTACATACGTTTATTACAAATATATATGTATGTATATTTGGCAAAGAAACCGCGTTTATATTCGATAAATATGAGACTGCCTAATTTCGATTTTACTTAAAGATATGCTTACTTCTCGAATTTATTTCATATGCAAAGTTAATTAAAAATACATTATATATTTGCACTTTGAACTTTACTTATTTCATAAAAATAGAAATGCTAATTCTGGATGACAATGAAATTTGATTTCATCATACTTTACTTAATTAATAATTAAAATTTATTTATCGATTTGAAAATTGTATTTAATGATTATATTTTTAGATATATAAATTATCTTGGCATTTAGCCGCATAACGAATCGTTGACCTGTCTCTCTAAATGACGCTTGTTTTCATCGAAATGATAGATGTATTTATGTTCCTTTTGTAAACAACATTATTCGCATTCATTCGTAAACAACATGAAAATAGCATTAGGAATTATAAAAAACCGTATCCGACATTCGTGTTGTCGTCTTATGTTGCCAAAATCTCGTTCCGGATTTTACGTAATTATGTACCTAAAAGTTTAAAACATTTTAAATATTGCGTCGATTAAGAATACTACAATAAAAAAATAAGAAGAGACGAACAATGTGCGATAAAATAAAAAACTAGCAATTAGTTTGTTTAATTATAAAAAAAAACAGTGATAGATTTTGAAGAATGACCCATGGCAGACTGATATAATTAATTTTAATCGCATATATAGTTATCAGTTTCAATTTATACAGTGCTGGCTAATTTTATTAATAATTTTTGGATATAAGAAGATAAAATCTTGTTTAAATAAGATTAGGAAATATAGATCTTTCAAGCGATTGCATAACATTATGAAACGTAACTTTACATAATTTCAGATGTAGAACGTCATGGCAATTAGCATAAAATTCACAAAATTTAACAACACACCATGGGGCTTTCGACTAGCAGGTGGCAGCGATTTTCCGCAGCCACTTACTGTTATCAAAGTGAGTTTCTTGCAATTAATTAGCAGAATGAGTATCTCTTATTTGATAACAATATCGTTAAGATTTTCCAAAAAGAAATAGAACAAATATAAAAAATATGTGAATCATCTATAGATCACAGAGGGCAGTTTGGCCGAATGTATGGGTTTAAAGGTTGGCGATGTCATAGTAAGATTAAATGATCAGCCAATTAGCAGTTTAACTCATGGACAAGCACACGAGGCAATCGTGCAAGCTGGCAACAATTTTGTTCTAGCTGTACAAAGGTAAGTCTATCGCAAGGGTCAATTAATTGTAAGTGTCACAAAAAAGATATAAAAGATTTATTTTTTAAGTTGCAAATCTTCTTTTGGAAGAGTCGTAACTGATAAGATACTGTATTTCATAAAAGAAAAGTTATAAAAATTGAGACATATATTATATTTCTTATAATGTTTGAATTATAATATTAAATTTTTTTAAATAAATGATATTTTTGAATAATTAAATAAATAATATTGTAACTTTGTTTTCTTTTTTCATCAACGATTTTAAATTTGTGTTTGAAATCATTAAACAAAAAAATATCAGGTAGCATAATTTTCTATCCAGTTTCTTAGTAATATAAATTTCTATATAATTAGGGATGCGCATACTGCGTGTATAATTAAAATCCAGAAAATAGAAGATGGAGATAAATGACGCTCGTGCCGGTTGCATCGCAGCCAAAGTGAATAAACGAGTACGTAAATATGCGCAATAGCAAAGTCGACCACGTCTCTTCGCATAAATTAAGCTCTTGTCCTATTTGGTCCCGGGAGAAATCGTTCTTCAATATTAGTCTTTTTGAATTTATTGACACTGAAATTGCGTTGTTAGAGCTACAAATAACAAATACTTTCTACATTAAATCTTTATATACAATTGATGTAATAAAAGTTGCAGTTATCTAATTTTTTCTGCTGCTGCAAAATATCATATCCAGTTCGCTAAAATATAAAATTAAAATAAAATATATAGTAAAATAGAAAGAAAAAAATAAAATGTTTATAAATAAATATAATTGAACTTTTGGAACTCACATAGAATGATTCGTTGTGCGATTAATAACTCTATGTTTAAAGTGACAATTCATTATGTATGTTCATTGTAACTGGAGAAACTAATGAAGAACTCGGGTATCGAGGCAAATTTTTTTCGATCATCTCATCTAAATCAAGATCAAGTTTAATTTTGGAGCGTAATGGTCGAAGGCTGTAATCAAATTTAATGAGCCTTCAAGGATCTCGTAATGCGTCAGGCGACCGCCGCGCGTCATTCATCACCAGCATATACTCTTCGATAATAATTTCGGGGACGGCAAGAATATCCCGGAGCGCGTATGAGCTATGTGGCAATGTATTGCGACATTTATAAATAGGTGACCCAGAATGAGAGATCTGTTTATCATTGGTCGGCGATTTTATTGCTGGTCCCTGTCGCGCCCCGTTTCTTGCCGTTTGTCGCGGATTCGCGGGATTCGCCGCATAGAGAGTAGAGTAGAGGGTAAATCTTACCAGACTCACTCACACACCGGAATCCGTTGCCTTCGGTGCATTCGGTGCATATTCGCGTTCGCGAGCCGGTCGCTGGACCGGCGCATCCACCACGAGCGGGAGAAAGTCTATTTTCTTGGTTGCTGTGTTTGTTGTTTGCGCAGAGAGGAAGAGGCACGAAAGGCCGTCGAGGCGATATCGGAAGAGAACATCGTCCCATATAAGATCTCCGTAAGTATATATCCGTGAGATGAAAGGTAAACAGCATCCCTGACTGCGCTCTTAACTGGTGACGAGGAGGTATCTACGTGATACGTCCATTTCTCTCAACGATCCGCTCTTATTTTCTTTTTGGAATATTCGGCTCTCGTGCATTTCTAAAAACAGAGATTGTTTTTCTATTTTCCGGAACACATCTAAAAAAATATTAGAGGGAGAAAAGATGATTATGTCACCACGTAAGAATTGAATAAACTGATACGATTGTTGTGAGAGATAGAAACATATTTGATTTAAAATTCTCAGATGGTTTAAAAAAAATGTATATTGTGTCAAGATTATTAAATACTATAATTCTTAAAGAATATGTGTGGGACTTATTATAGACTCAAGTATATTAAAATATTTTGAATGCTTGTAACAAGAATAAGTAATTCTTATGAGTTCTCTACGTATAATTAAAATAGCTTCAGAAAATTAAGAATCTTTTTGGAAATTAATCTCATTCTTTCGTCAGGGAAAATCTTTGATCTTTGCTTGACATTTCAAGAGATATGGTACTAGAGAAAGTGCGAGATGAGATGACGTCGAGTTTGCTTATTAGCTTGCAGACTTACCGCCAGTCTTCCCAGAAGAGATCTTAAAGGAGGAGACAGTGATCGAGCGGTACGAGGAAGAGAAGACTGTCGTTGAACCGTTGTCCGCCGAAGAAGAGGTCAGGCGAGAGGAGGAAAAGCTCGCGGAGGAGAAACCAGTGGACGCCAACAGCGAGATCGTGCCCAACAAAAATCTCACGGATGACGAGATCGCACAGCTGATTCTCGAGGAGGAGGAGCTCTTGTCCGATCAAGGATTATTGGGGTATATTTTTACATATGTCAAGTTGATCGATACAATTCTGCGCATTTAAGATTATTAATATCCATTCCCTAGTCTCGTCTTTCTCATTTATAAAAAATATTATATAAAATATTATATAAAAATTTATAAAAAAATGTATAAAACATTTATAAAAAATAATATAATATTAATTATATAATATAGTTATAATAATATTAATTAATTGAAATAAGAAATAAGTATTTTTACGATAATAATAACAATAATTTCCATTTTTTCCCTATTTTCGACAGAGTGAACTTTAAAAAGCTACGACCACGCGCCCCGATTCTGAAAGAGTCGAAGGTCTTGGAGGAATTACAGAACATTGCAACAGCCGAGCCCGAGCGGATACGGGAGTTGAAGCGCACTTCCACTTTCTTGCAGAAGCCAGAGCGACCGGTACCAAAGCCTAAGTGCGAGCCAAAGGTGGTGGAGGACGACGTTGAGAGCTACAAGGTCGTGATCAAGAAACAAGACAAAAAGACTGTGATCGCGCGCCTTGTAGAGAAGGGCCTGCTTCCTCCAGGGTCAGAGGCGAGCGTCGCCGGGACACCGGAACCACCGGAACCACCGTCCGAGGTAAAGATGCATGAAATGGAGAACCGGCTCGAGGAAGACCGTCCCCCCGTGTTTAACCGAAATTCCTCGTGTTCGATCTCCCCCTTCGATACCGATGATTCACTGTCCTCGCGTTCTCCAGAACTTGATTCGAACGAAACTTGTCCTTCCGAGGATCAGCTAGGATGTCCCGCGACATATAACTGCAAGTCGAAGCTGTCGAACGGCAAACCAAGTCATTATCGAAGAAACAGTTCCGAAGCCAGAAGGAGGTCGTCCTTCAAGGGTTATTATCTAGAAAATATTCTCTCCGGTTATGCCGACTCTTGCGTTTCCCGTGATCAACAGATCGACGATCAGTTCGAGTCTCCAAAGACGAGATCTGGAAGTTCCAAAGGCAGAAGGAGATCGTCCTTCAAGGGTTATTACCTAGAAAATATTCTCTCCGGTTATGCCGACTCTTGCGTTTCTCATGATCAACAAAACGACGATCAGTTCGAGTCTCCAAAGACGAAATCTGGAAGTTCCAAAGGCAGAAGGAGATCGTCCTTCAAAGGTTATTACCTAGAAAATATTCTCTCCGGTTATGCCGACTCTTGCGTTTCCCGTGATCAACAGAACGACGATCAGTTCGAAGCTCCAAAGACGAGATCTGGAAGTTCCAAAGGCAGAAGGAGATCGTCTTTCAAGGGTTATTACTTAGAAAATATTCTCTCCGGTTATGCCGACTCTTGCGTTTCCCGTGATCAACAGATCGACGATCAGTTCGAGGCTCCAAAGACGAAATCTGGAAGTTCCAAAGGCAGAAGGAGATCGTCCTTCAAGGGTTATTACCTAGAAAATATTCTCTCCGGTTATGCCGACTCTTGCGTTTCCCGTGATCAACAGATCGACGATCAGTTCGAGCCTCCAAAGACGAGATCTGGAAGTTTCAAAGCTAGAAGGAGATCGTCCTTCAAGGGTTATTACCTAGAAAATATTCTCTCCGGTTATGCCGACTCTTGCATTTCCCGTGATCAACAGATTAATGATCAGTTCGAGTTTTCAAAGACGAGATCTGGAAGTTTTTGCTGGCTGGGAAGCAAGCTTGGTTTCGGTGCTCTCGCATCAAACAAGATCACTTCCAGAAGAAGGAAGAGCAGATGCCCGCGAGCACATTACGGAGAGAGGATTATTCTACGAAATGTTAGCGTTATCGCTCAACACTTGATGTTGTTCCAGTTTTTGTTGCAGAAGTCAAGTGTCTCCGAGTCATCGGAAACTTCAAATTATACTACTGATTCAGATCTAAATGAGCAAAAAATTAATAAAGATATCTGCAATATGAAAATCTCCGGATGGCATGAAGATGGTCCGTTATGTTCATTACAAGAAGAATATGCCGTTGATATTCTGGATTCAAACAAGAAGGAAACCGATAAAAACAATGTTCTCAAGTGTAATCCGATTTTGTCTGAAGATGTCGACGAGTCCGTGTTATCTGAAGAGAAAGACGACTCTCTTTCGAAATTCTTGCAATCGACTGAGAATTATATTTCCACCGAGGTCTTTCATCGCGGCAATAGAAGATTTTCGAAATCGCGTAAGTCCATAGATGCCATCCCCGAGAAAGATGATAATACAATCTCGAATCTCCTCCAATCAACCGGAGATTACGTTAACAGCGAGGTATTCCATCGCGGTAGCCGAAGATTCTCAAAGTCATCCAAGGACGCGGAACAGGAACCGAGTGCTCTGTCGGATCTCCTCCAATCAACCGGAGATTACGTTAACAGCGAAGTGTTCCATCGCGGTAGCCGAAGACTCTCAAAGTCATCCAAGGACGCGGAACAAGAACCAGATGCTGTGTCGAATCTCCTTCAATCAACCGGAGATTATGTCTCTAACGAGGTGTTCCATCGCGGTAGTCGAAGATTCTCAAGGTCATCCAAGGACGTGGACCAGGAATCCGGTGCTTTGTCGGATCTCCTCCAATCAACCGGAGATTACGTCAACAGCGAGGTGTTCCACCGTCGTAGCCGAAGACTCTCGTTGTCAAAACCACCCAAGGATCCGGAACAAGAACCGGGTGTTCTGTCAAATCTCCTCCAATCAACTGGAGATTACGTTAACAGCGAGGTGTTCCATCGTCGTAGCCGAAGACTCTCGTTGTCAAAACCACCCAAGGATCCAGAAGAGGAACCAGGTGTTCTGTCGAATCTTCTCCAATCAACCGGAGATTACGTCAACAGCGAGGTCTTCCATCGTCGTAGCCGAAGACTTTCATTGTCAAAACCACCCAAAGATCCGGAAGAGGAACCGGGTGTTCTGTCGAATCTTCTCCAATCAACTGGAGATTACGTCAACAGCGAGGTGTTCCATCGCCGTAGCAGGAGATTATCAAAATCGTCCAGAAGGGGATCTCTCGTAGCTCCCGATTCGAAAAGCGATTCCTCCAATCTGCCTTGGTTTTCGTTCGGAGGCTGCGAGGAGAAGATCGATTCCGAAATCGATCTGGACAATCGAAGGTTGTCATTCGTGCCGACGGTCCTCTATCAAAGTGTCACGAATCGTATCGGTGTTGATTTTACAAGGCTGGTGGCTTACGCCTTTGTGCCGTGCACCTCAATCATCCTTCTGTACATGTATCAGTAGTCCTCATCTGGCGATGTTTGTATTCTGTTTCGATACGTTGATATAAATGATAAATGATTGTAATCAATCTTAAATTTCAAATTAAATGTCGAGGATGAACAAATTTATTCATTTCGATCATCACAATTGCGCGCATGTTTATGTGTGTATTTACATTTAAATAGATATCATTGTTCCTAAAATGATTCTAACTGTCTTACTAGGTATATACTTGTTTTAGAAATTCTCTTAAATAATATATATTGATCCACATAAACATATTTCGTAAATGCGCTCGAATTTTATTATAATTATAGTATGTTCTTGTTTTTTTGTCATTAGAGAAAATGTGTGTTGTTAAACTGATTTTATTATACAAAATAAATAACCGGAATGCAAAGATATTTTATGTAAAAATCGATCCAATTTGTGTATGAACAAAGATATAATTAACTTTTCTCTTATTTATGTGAAATGATTTCTAAATAATTAAACTGTGAAAACCTGTCGTTTGTATTTAATCCTTGCATATCAATGGCTCATTTTCCATAATTATAATGTGAACAATAATAAGAAAAAATTGAAATTTTATATTTATTATTATATGCATTATTATTACTGTCATTATTTATTTTTTATCATTATTTTAAATTATTTAAATTTTTCTCACTTAATCGATTATAAAAAAACATAGCATAATTAAAATTATATAATATAATTCAATTCAATATCATATACTCTATAAGAAATATTCAATTTGATAATTCAGAAAGGTAAGTACATATTCAATATCAATTTTTTAAACAGCTTCTTCTAATATTTTTGCATTAAAAGTTTATTGTAATTTTTAAATATTTTGTCTCCAACTTTATCGACGAAGAAATTTGTTAATTGAAGTATTATTTTAGGAAATTAATAATTAGTATAATTATTTGATAATTTCTAACAACCTGTAACTTACAAACCTGTAAACGTGTAATATGCATTTTATCTTTTACAAACTAAAAATTATTGATATGATATAACAAACAAAACTTTTGGTAAAAATGTAGTTTTGCAATAATCATTCTTAGATCAAAATCTATAGAAAAATTTACGCTATGTTTATTCGGTGCATTCATACAATTTTCTTTTTTAATTTAGACAATAACACCAGCATCAACACCAAAACCCACATCTAGAGCGGAGCAAGAAGAGAGTCTTGAATCTCATTTCGCATCAAAGGCAGAAGGAGAAGAAAAGAGCGACGAAACCGACGACTTCAAGGAGAGATCCGAATCTAAGGAGGAAAATCATCGTTCTGAGTCTCGTGCAGCCGGATCCAGCCAGGACGAGGCAGCAGTACTCGAGGAAGATTCCAGCGTCTCGACGACGGATCGAGCGGCGACGAAAGCCGAGAGTGAGAAAATCAAGGAACTGGTGTCCACGGAGTTCAGTCTCGAGCAACAGCTGGAGAACGTGCAGCGGCAATTGCTCGCTTTGAAACAGCTACCGAGCGAGATCGAGAATCACTTGAGGATCGTCTCCGAGCAATTGCACAAGATCATGGAGCTGAGCGGTGTTCCGAGGTCTTTCGGCAACGGAAGCGGCGGCCATCGCGGGTCACCAGGTGACCGAGATTCGTAGTCGAGGTCGAAAACCAAAAACCAACTATCGATGATTACTCTTTTAGTATATTTTCCATTTTCATCCTGAATGAGTGCCAATTCGTCAATATTAAATGTGAAAAAAATTACTAAACAATATAGCTTATAAGATGGACGACCAGATTTTTTTTCAATTTTGCACTTAGATTTAAGATTCTTTTTTGAATAGCACGCTAATTAAGATTCGTTGTTATTCAGAAGAGAATATCGTACAGCGAAAGGACGAAGAAAAGTTGGAGGAACAAGATGAGGACACTGATGAGGAGGATGACGAATTTACGGAAACTTACGATTACATCGAGGAAATCGCATGCTTGGAGCGAAAAACGTCATCGAGGTCAACGCCACAAGTGATCGAGCCTAGTGACGATGAAGGAGAAATGGAAGAAGAAGAAGCAGAATTGAAGGAACTGGACGGTACGATTTCCGTGAAGAGCGCAGACGAGGAAGGAAATAAAGTCAAGAAATTCATCGTTTCTTACGAGACTAAGCTTCTGAAATCACCAAGTCCAGCACTATCGCACGGTAAATATCGACATTAATCTATTAATCACGAATTTGTTTGTTTTGCAAAAACAGATAATAGATTATAATTCTATAAATTCGATCTTTGAATATTGTGAGGATATAAAATTTCCTCTTTATAATATTAAAATATATTATTTTTTGAGTATGTTTTTATTAAATACAACAGTCAGTGATTTAAAATATGATAATGCTATTATATAGGTAGTTTCGAACCAGACCCCAAACTATCACCAAAAGATCAAGTAATACAGGAATTACAGGTATCTCGATAGATGGAATGAACAATTCTGTGTTTACCTAGAAATTGATTATTATTGTTTCATTCTTTCTCCTCCCTCTCCATTATTCATATTCAAAAATTAAATACTGTTAAAATGTTAACAAATGAAAGTAATGTCAAAATATCCTTAATTATATATAATTAATTACATGCACAATGAATCGAATGTATTAAATGTATTTTTTGTAATTAATATTCAAATTTGTTCTGTAAATCCATTGTTTCTACTTCGTTATTTCAATTCTATTTATTATTGATACCAATAAAATTTTTACATCTTTCCGTGAACTCCATTTTGCAATTTTGATGCAATTGATGCATGAGAAGCGTTCGAAATTAAATGGAAAGTCAATAACTTTTCATATTTCATTTTTCAGCAAAAAGTGCACAAGAAAGGCAAAAAACATTCGCAAGACCTCTGGCCCCAGGCTAAGCAGCTCGAACTTACGCAAGGTCGCAGATGGAGATGCCCGAATGACTTCTTCAATGACGAGATGATTGCTGAGGTCTTGTCTTGTCAGGCGGAAGTTATTCGCGGTAAAACGATGGGGTAAGAATGTATAGCGATTATAATGAAAAAAAAGATTTAAAAGCAAATTAATTATAAATGCAATATATAAGAATCCTGTAAAGAGCTTTAAAATTATTCTTATAATTTTTCAAAAATTTTCTAATCAAATATTAATCGATTATTACAGAGTAAACTTTAAGAAATACGAGAAAACAAATTTACCAAACTACGACTACCTGATGAATTCGAGCGTCTATAAGATGATTCATAAAATGGAACGAGAACCGAAAAAGGGCATCCCTGCGAGACCTGCTAAAGTCAATGCAGCTGAAGACATAATAGAGAGAGTTGTAAGCTTCTCTTTGTAACCTTTCACGATTGTCAATACAAATCGTTTAGAGAAAATGATGGTGATGATAATTAATTGTGAATTGACAAGTCAAAAATTTACTCTTAATTAATTTTATATACATACTAAAACAATTTTTAATCATAAATGATTAAAATATTTTTAATAAAATTGTTTTATTATATATTAAATATGTTTTTTTAATAAAATAAAAAAATGTGTTAGGCTAAAATTTAAATGAAAAATTCGTAATTTAATCAAATTATCATCGTCATGCTTTAACTTGATTATTATGATTTAGAATAAAAAACAAATTTGATTTCTCTTAACGATGTTTTTTCAGAAATCACCAGCATTGAGCGTTGTAGATGAGAGAAGCATCAGTCACTAAACCAACAGCAATCATAAATGAATCATCATAGTTTATAAGCAAAAAATTGATGTACTTACTTAAAGAATATGCTATAAACTGAACTGATATATCTAAAATCTAAGCAATTCAAGAAAATTGCTCAAAATTATTAAGAACGCAATTATCTGATTTGAAAAATGTTATCGTACGATTATCGAGATACAATATAATTATAATAATTCTAAGCATGTGTACATATATGTATATGTATAATCATATTTAAATCGTCCCGAGAACAATTTTTCTCGACAATATATTACATATATTAACAAAGAAAGTCCACGTCAGTAATCCTTCTTTGTATAAATTTACATATATGGAATAATTAATACATTAAATATAAACCATAAAAATTTTACATTTTAGAAGTATAGCAAATATCTAATTGTTTCGCATATTTTTAAAAGCAATTACTTGATTAATTGCATTTTAAAATATGCACTTTTCTATAATGCTCCTCAAAATGTACTTCATTATATTTTTTACCAATATATCCCTATATTTATCGAATAAATCACTGTAGACAGATGCATAATTAATAATTGGTTAGAATAATGCATAATAATTAATTGCATAGTTTTAGAGGAAAGTAAGTTAGAAAGTAAATATGTAAAAGTAGTTCATTTTACTATTATATATATTTGCGTTTATTTCTGTTCGCGATCGTAAGAATATTCGTTATTAGCGGAATTACTTTTATTACATCAGGTACTAACAACGTCAATTTTTCTCGTTTTTTTAAACAGCAAGAAATAGCAATAACATCTTTGAAACAATCCGTGTACGTATATGTATACGTGCCATCATTTCGCTCAATGATGTTTAACCGGAGGAGATTGTTGGATCTCTAAATACGCGATGATTGAAATTGACCTAGAAAGAAAGGTTTCCGAGTAAAACGGCCGCGATTATATACCGTTCGCTCGGAAATCCGCGCAACTGGTTCCGCCGATGATGAGTCGCGAGGATGTACTTTCTCCTTTCCAGGGTTTCCCGAGGAGGCCCCTGGTATCCGCGTCTCGCATATGCGTGCACGACGAGAGCTGAGTCACGTCTGCCTTCTTGGCTGATGAACCTCTTTTTCATCTTCTCTCCCTCTCTTTCTTTCTTTCTCTTCTCGCTATCTCGTTCTCTCACTCTTGCTTGTTTAGGGTCCGCGATCGTGACGTCGGCTTCGAGCAATTTATGTAAAGCATTCTAGGCATGATTCACGAACTAGTTCGCGCCCTCGTGACCGCCACCGGCGCAGAATGCAACCGCCGAGCTCGGGTGCAGCATCGAAAACACTGGTGCATCCATCGAAATGTTCCTTCCGCGAATTTTATTCGGTATATATTCGTTATACAATTAAAAAGTTAGCATATTTGTTACACAATTCATTTGTCATACAGTGACAAACAATTCATTAACTTGACTAAATCGTTCGACTAAATATTATTTTGTTAATTTAACATATAAAAATATTTAAATAAATATAACATATTAAAACGAGTTTTGATTTAAATACTAAATATATGTTCAATTAATAAAATAGTAATTTAGTTGAACGGTTTAGTCAAATTAACAATTTTTTATATACATCAAATTTCTCTCAGAAATTCCCTTTTAGTTTGATTATTGAGTATGTAATTGCAAAAAAAAAGTTACGCTGAAAAAAATTATTTAATTATTAAAATAAATATTTATTTCAAAAAGTCTTACATCATTTATTTGAAACTAATAATACTGATTTGCATTGAAAAAATATTTATTTGATATATTATAATAATTTTTTTTTCAAAACAGAAAAATATTTATTTGAAATAAATGTGTAAATGGAACTATTTAAATAAATATTTATTTGAATTCAATAGGTTTTTTCAGTGTACAATTAACATAATTGCAAAATTGGAACAAATCCTCAGATATTAAGAGTAATTTAAAGTTATCTGTATAGAGATAAATATATTAATTTTTTTAAATTAAATGTGAGTTTTGGATAGTTAAAAATTTGTGACAAAGGATTTGATAATTTTCCTATGTGCCTTTCCATGGGAAGGAATTCTCGTAATATTTTTACATTTACACGTGCGCAGGAAGATCAAAGAGACAAGATTCTTCTCCCTGACATAATTCACGCGTGTCTTCGCCGCCGTAACGTCAATTTCGGTAAATTCATGTGTAATTGCTGAGAGACTTAATGGTCAGATACGCGACAGTGTAATAGAATTTATTTAATAAGTTTTCATTCACGACCTCTTACGCGACCTATTGACGATGATTAAACTTACATTGTCATCGTAAAAAAATTTTCAATTCAGGGAGGAAAGATATGATTGTGTTTCTGTCTTTAAGAGATTCTATTCGTCTATTTATGCGCTAACATTTTAATATACACGATAGCGAATTAACATTGAAAATCGCCTCCTCTTTGAAGAGTCATAAATTATAAAAAAAGCATATAAAGAAAAAATGTTGATTAATTTATATTTAAAATCTTTAAATATCATTATCATTATCATTAAATATCATTATCAATATCATTAATTTATAATTAACGACATATACCATATATGTTAAAGTTCTATATATAAGATAAATTAACATTTTTTGTGACAGAAGAAAAACTAAAAAATCTTTTTTTAGAATAATTAATAATTTACTAAAATTAAAAATCTGACTAGATAAACACTGGATAGTCCTAAATTGAAAGGAAGAGGGAGACATAATTAGAAGCGGAGAAGTACAGAAGAGATGTAAACGTGCGCACGCTATTCTGTCATGGTCACCGAGATGGCAACTCGACATTCCCGACATTTCGCCCCATCCTTTTTCCACCCCGACGTTATATTGTATATATCTTATTGCTCTTCTACCATCCGTCTCTTAACTCCCACCGCCACGGTATAAGAAGCACCTTGCACATTGCACCGGATGCACCGATGTTCATGGACACGCTCTCGGTAATATAGGTCGGTAATATGCTTGAGAGGGCACAAAAGTTTTGTTCGGGAATTTAATTAATTAAACACACGCTCTCGATTGAATCCTCTACTCTGCTACCCTTAATCTTTTGATCTGTATTCATGGCGCTATAATCATTTAGTCGATTTTATTAGATATTTCTTAGTAAATTTATTCCTCATTTTTATTTCACAATCAGATTATTTTTACTTTGTAATTTTATGACAAAGGCAGCTCGAAGAGTTCCACCAAACTGTTTGTTTGGATTTGAAAAATTTCAAAAATAGCATTCATCGCAAAGAGGGATGATCGGTGTTTGTTTGTTCCTTTCCTACAAGATATCTTTGTTGCTGCATTATACCTGAAGTCAGGTTCTGACATATCCCATCAGGCATCCGAAAAATCCGAATAATTTAAGTATTGACCTGAAACTCCAGAGAGAAAGAGAGAGAGAAAGAAAGAGGGTCGGTATAATTTCGAGATTTAAAATTAACATATCCGTGTAACTTAATATCACTTTTAATGAAATTTCGTCACATTTATTTCGTCATATGTTGCTATTTGAAGAGATTCCTGTTAGAACAGAATAAATTTGTCTCCTTTCCTCTCTTTACGTCCCCGCCACCTGTCTCCTACCACTGCTTCTTCCTCCTTCCCTTTCCTTCCACACTCTCGTACTCCTCCTCTTCATCCCGAATCGCGTGGCGAGGAGACTCTGCTGCCCGACTGACCGTCCTCGGCGCCTCTTATACCTTTACTCCGGTTTGCGCGTTCTTGAGGAACGTACGTGCCCGTTCCACGTTCCATTCGAGAGAGAGAGAGAGAGCGCGATTCATACCCCTCTTTCAAAGAGTACCTCTACGTTGTACATAAACAGCCAGATTTCATTCGTCGGTGGTGCACCTCGAAAATAGCCAGGTCCGAGTTAAGAGCTTGTTCGCCAATAATTATCGTACTTTTTTGAGATCGTTCTCGGTTCGTTTGTTCACACGTTTCATTTGCTCCGATTTGACGCGCTCGACAGTTCAGGCAGACAGTGATATGGCACAGCTGATCAGCGTCAAGCTATCTAGGTTCGACGGATCCCCCTGGGGTTTTCGTCTGCAAGGCGGCAAGGATTTTGGCACGCCGCTTATTGTGCAGAAGGTGAGCCCACCTCAAACAATATTTTATTCCCTATCCGGTTCAATGACAGTTGTTTTTCAACAACTTCATTAAATGTAATATTTTTCTCGTATTAAATATTAGAGCTGAAGAATTTGCAAATTATTAATTAAATATTAAACTTTTCTAGTCTCTTGCTTTCTCGCGTTTAAAATTATTGTACATAATGTTATATTAATATAAAATTAAAAAATTATATATAATATGTATTTTAAATAATATTAAATAATAATTATACGCGATGCAGAAATGATGGAGAAAAAAATCACATTTTACATTTACTTTTATATTACTTTTTGTCAAAGCTCTGCTACGGAATATAATTTCTATTCTAGTTATATGGTTTGATTTATGTCTTATTTTTTTATTCGTCGTTTATTATTGTATAGTATTTCTTAAATTAATAATAAATATTAAAAGACTATCTATATATTTTTCTCTTTCTCTATCTTTCTCACTCAGTTTTCGGATTATAAAGGTATGTTTTTAAAGGCCCGAATCTAAAGTTGACTCGAGGCAGAAGTAGTAGTAGAAATATTTCTTGTCATATTTATATATAGCGATGTTTTATATAGCTATTTTCATTTATTCCCCTTGTCGTTCGCTTCCACAAAGATTTTCGATAGGAAAACAGTCCGATAGAGAAAATTATTTTGAATCACGTCCCAATATATTACCGAATATATAATAAAACTAACAATAAGTAAAAGAAACTATACAACGCTTTTATGTACTCTTTTCTATATGTGAACTCGTTGCATCTTTCCTTTATTCATAAAATATCAATTGTCGCAACTCGAATTGAATAGAATTTTCATTGAGCACAAGGATCAATCAATTTTCCTATTTGACAAGTGAAATCATCGATTCAAATATTTCGCGTTCGCGAATAACAGCGTTTTCATTATGCAATAATTTCTTTTCTCTCGAGATGTTGGCATTGTTATCAATTTTTATTATAATGTAAAAAATGTTTTATTGCATTTTTATACATAATTTCCAGATCGAATTACAGTATTAATGATTAATAAATAATTATGATTTATAAAATTTTTATATTGTTCTAATTTTTTTACTGTAAATTTAAATTGCCAAGATATATAAATTTGTCTACGTTGTAAAAATAAAAATTCGAGTTCTCAAATCTTCGGTACGCGGAAGCGGATAACGATAATGAACTCCGAGAGCAAGAGCGAGACGAAAGTGAAAAGCAAACGGCATCTCATGCGACTCGTCCTCGGAAATGAAATCTATATCAAAGACAGAAGTTGACTGAAGTTGACACTCGACAGGCAGACATGTGTTGATGCTCCGTAATGCGAGTCCCCCGTTTGCAATATGCGATTTAAAATACCGGAATTGATAACTATGGAAATTAGAACGTAGCAATCGCTTCTTATCTTCTTTTACGCGCGACAAAATATATGTTCGGTTCAAATAACTGTGCTTAGAAAAAAAATAATTAAAAATGAATTAAAAATATTAACATAAAAATACAATTAAATATTTTTAAAAATTTTTATCAACGCCAAATTCAGATACAAAACAAGTATCTAAAATTTTCTGAATTTTCTGGAATTTTAAATTATACTTACTCTGAAAAAAAAATTAATTCCACAAGTAATCCCCTGTTAAAATCTCTTATTCTTATGATTAATTCTACTTCTTCATATGATTCATACTACGATCTCATGTGGACAAAATATTGAATTTAAATTTTAAAATTAATAAAATAAATAAGAAGAAGGATGAGCAAATTGAATTCAAGAGCGAAAATTCGGCACGAGCTTTTCCCTTTCCCTTCTGCTTTTCGCGGCCGTGAGACGCGATTGAGTGTTTTGATATTACGATCTAGAAAGAGCGTTATGTAACGTTGACGGCAAACGTTAAATTATTTCACGCGCATCGACAGAAATCGTTGCCAACTACGTGCGAAACGTCGAGCTCGCCATCGCCACCACCGCCCTGACGTGTTTTGGCGATGCTCGGCGCTGTAACACGAGAAGCTTTTGGCGAACGTGTAGAGACGCGGGGCGTTCCGTCATTTTTTCTGCATCTTTTTTTTCAGGCGATTATGTAGCGTTATACTGCCATAAGCGCTATTATTAAGACGCGTTGTCAGCGAGTGCCAATGTCGAGCGACGACAATCATCGCAGATTTTGCAATTCGCGCGCAACTGTCAGAAATTTGACGTTTGTTGTGTGTTGATGTATTATAGTTCAATAATTTTTTAATATAATATTTCATATTATAATTATTATACAATATGTAGTATATATTTTTTCTTGTAATAATTATAATCATAAAAAAGAGATTACTTTTCTCACTTATTATACAAATGCTAACTTTTATATATGTTCGATTTGTAGATTTGCTGAAAGAAGGATACTTGTTTTTATATTTTTTATAAAATATTTCAACAAAAAGTAGTAATTTGAGTTTCTCAAGGGCAGCTGATTCCTCGGGTTTCCTTGAATTCTTGTTGCGTGCTTAGGTCGCGGATGTTAACGCATTTGCGAATTATTTTAGCAGTCGCGTCGAATTATCGCGGCATCGCAATTGGGTTCAAGTATGTATTTTGAAATGCAAAATAGAAATTGGATCGGCGATCGCCTCTCGGCGAAAACCAGTGCAAAATGTCTTTGACACACCACTAGACTCATATTTCTCTCCTTTCTGAGAAAACCGAGGGTGGCCGGACGCCGGCCGTATTTGCGGCCTCGTAAAATAAACGTACCACGTGGTGTTTGCTACGAAAAGAAGGCCAAGTTCGAAGTGCCGATTGCACAGATAAAATCGTTCAGCGCAGTCACGATTAATTATCACATCCCTTTAATTCTGCGGATTTTAAATTTTAATTAATAATGCAGGATGCAAAATACACACACTTCTGAAGAAAATGCATAATTAATTAAAATTAAAAATCCACAGAATTAAAGAGCCGTGATAATTTGATATGAAATGTGCGTAAAATATTTCACATTTTTATTGTCTTGTCGACATTCTTATGATTTATACAATTTTTTTCGACTGTAAACATACACGATAAAAATTAAAATATTTTGGTTTTTTATTTTGCTGACTTTATTTGAACACCTCGCTAGCCGAAAAATGTATTACTGTCAAAAATTAAAAAATTACAATAAATAAAAAATGACGATCTTTTCTGATATATTCTTGGGAAATAAAAACTATAAAAGCATCCACAAATTAAATAAATTATTTTATTATTTGGAATGAAATACTATGCGACTTAAATTCGATAAATGCTCAGATTATTGTTCATGTTTGTGTACAGCTTTGTTTGAAAGATTCGTTTTAAGAAAAATTCGCCCACGGAATTAACCGATGGCGAGGAAGAGAAGAAGAGAGAATGGCGTATGTCGCTGGCAATTCGAGGCAAATTATTTGGGCGTTCTATTTCTAGAAGGTGCCTTTGCGAAACCCGCGCGCGCCAGATCGAACCTCGCTTCGCGACGACGAAGACAGCAGGCGCCGATTTCGACGACGACGACAACGGCGACGACATCGATGTCGTCTTCACGGGGGCCGTCGTTTTTTTCTCAGACGGATAAATAATGCGGCCGCGCGAGTATCCGGTCACGATCCGAAACGAAATCAAACGATTTCTGTTCAACGAGCAGAAAAATATTTGGACGCGCATTTTTAGAAGCTGTGGAAAAAGAACTTTAACGCGTGTTTAACAGAGTTTATATCGTTAATACACCGTAACGCGAGTCTTCGTCGATCATCGCGACGATAAATATTTCTGCCAACAGATCGACCAAACTCGCGTAAAATCGACAAAATATTTTCCCCTTTTCTTATTTATGAGATAAAAGTATATGGTAAACAAAAATAAATTTCCCATAAATTTCCAGTAATCTCAAGTATAAAAAATTGCACATAATTTCAATTGTCTCCTTGTACATCTGTCATAATATGTAAATCTCGAGTAAACATTAATCTAATATAATAAATACTAAAAAATCAATATTTAAAGAGATTAAAAAAATCTAATTTAATTTAATTTAAATTTAACGATTCATTATTTATATATTAATAAATGCTGAACATTCATTTAGATTATATTCCATTTGACACACTATATATTCCGAATCTTTTTTATAACGTTTATTTAATCGCATGAAATTTTAATGCTGCGAACACGTTTCGAAGATCAAGATCACGCACAAGATTTTGCCGTGGCAAATTTTTTTATTGCAATTTATTTTTCTTGCGTTCTATCTACATGCACTTCCCGCGATTCCAAGACGAGTGCACCGACAGTGCATCGAAGCGTAGGCGTTCGCCTTATGCGATAATACTCGCTGAAAAACGCGTTATCGCGACGTGAAAGAACTCGGGGTGAATTGCAAGTATCGTTATCCGATTAGAACGTCACACTGGATGATAAGATTTCTTTCAGGCGCGAGAGAAAACCGTTCGAGGTGAAAGAAAGGCAATGAGAAAAAAATTTTGAAGGAATTTTTCGATGGTCATTAAAACGTAGTTCACGCACGTGGCGTTGCCCTAATAATGGCGTATCGTTCTGCTAATTAAACTGAACTTCCTCAGGCGTTATACGCGTAACGGAATTTTAACGAGGCCGCGCGAGAAAACAGTTTGGCTAGCGATAGCATTGCTCGATCATATTAGATTATTTTGCGTTCATCCAATAAGTAAAAAAAGATCATGTTTGACACAATAATTGTTGGAATGATAACATTCTAATTAATCTAAATAATGGAATGGAAATATATAATTAAAACCTGCAAAAGTTACTGAGAAAACTATAATAAAATTCCAGATAAACAACTAACAATAGATTTTACACGTAACTTCTTGTCTAAATTCTTTAGATAAAATTTAATTTTGATTGATTGAAAAATCCATAAATAAAATCATCACTCCCTGATCAAGGTAAACATACGAACAACGATATTGGTGTTCTGCCAAAGACGTGAGTGATTTATGCATC